CCTCCTTTTGTTTGTCTGCCTTCTCCTCCTTTTCTGTCTTCTGCTGCATTTTGCTTTTCATCCTCTCCAACTCTGTCTTTCCTCTGTCTTCTTGCGAAACAAGAAACCTCTTTTCTTCTTCTTCATTTCCAGACAGAGCTCCTCCAGTTCATTCTTCTCTTCCTCCAGTTGCTTGTTCTCTCCCTCCATCTGTTATACCTCCATCTCCCAGGTCTTTTGTTTCTCTGCCATGAGAGACAGGAGTTCACCTACTTTGCTCCACAGCTGGTTTGAGAGCTCAGTGAACTTCAGAGAGAGATTATCCCTCTCCTTCATGAGGTCCAGGATTCTGGTGTCCCTGTCATGGATCTGCTCCTCCACCTGTTTCAGTTTTTTCTTGAAATCAAGCTGCAGCTTCTGACACTCAGACATCACCATCAACACCTGGTTGTTTTTCTTAGAGACTTTTTGTTTCTCTGCCTCATGGTGACTATCTCGTTGCGCTTCAGCTTGTTCAGGTGCTGAGCTGCATCCATTTTGTCCGCCTGGAATTGGAGCCTTGTCTTGAGATTTCTAACTCGTGCTCTCTGATGGTCTCCTGGCTCCTTTTGTGTTCTTCTGCCGACTCTCTCTCCCTGATTTCCAGAAGTTCCTCCAGTCTGCTTATTTTCTGCTGACCGTTGTCGATGGTGTGGCAAAGGCTCTCCCTTTCCTTCAGGGATTCTTTCTTGAAATCCACCAGGTCTTGAATCTCTCTTTTCATCTGGTAGATCTGCTCGTGAGCACGATCAAGTTCAGCTTGCAGATGGAGGGAGACTTTGGGAGGTGGTGGACAGTCCTGCCGACTGCCTTTTCTTGGGTTCTTTCTTTTACCCATGGCACAGTCTGTAGCAGACGGTAGTTGTCTGTCAAAGAGTTTTCTCTAGCAGACTTGAGCTGTCTGTTGTAGACTCAAGATGTCTTTCGCAGACTTGAGTTGTAGCAGACTGTAATTATCTCTTGTAGAGCTTAGTGGTTGTTGCCTTTACTACTGATACTACTGCTTGTTTTTTATGTTAAATACATATTGTAACATATTATAAATACATACAATATTATAATTCTATGTACCCCAGTTCCAGAAATTCATTCATTTTCCCTAACAGACAATGTCAGGCAACTGACAACTGAAGCTTCTCTATAATTTGAATCTGTATGAAACTCTGGTTCTTTGGGTCGAAGGTAAAGCGCAAAAGGTATAAGAAAGGTCAACTATGACTCCCAAAGTGCTTATTGGCAAAAAACATCCAATCATAGTATGTATGCAGTCATTAGCAAGCGCGTTAGCTGCAACACATTCCTTATCGTTAACACCTTGTTCACACCTGAATAGTCTATTATGTTAGGATACGCCTGGGGCCTCATTTATAAACATTGTGTCGGCACATAAAAGGGCTTTAAAGACCCTCTTCTCTCAGGAAAAAGGTTTGTTTTTATGAAAACCCTTTTTTCCTCACTTCAGTGGAAACTCTGACAATGCATACAAATGTGCACAACTTTAGGAATTGATTGTGCCATAGGCAAAGAAGCATAATAAAACCACAAAGGTCTAATAACCCTTCTCACGCTGTTTATTTAAGTCAACACCCAAAACTGTGCTGTTTTATTTGTTTGTTTGTTTCCAAAGCCTGGATGAAACGACAAGTAGTAAGGAGGAGGTGTGTAAAGTGGTGCACTCTGAACAGAGTGGCCTATTTACCTGGTTCTCTAATGCAGCTTCATTCATCCATCTACCGGAGCTGTGTCCCCTTTTTCTCTGTGGAAGAACATTACTGTTGAATCTCCCTCGAGATGGCCATTTGTGTATCAGTTTCTCACTCTCTGTTACATTGAATTCAAGGAGAAAACTTTGTTTTTCTCATCTGCCTTCAAGGTAAATGAAGAATCCTACAACATTGAAGTCATGGAGGGTTCCTTTAACAACAGTTAAATTAAATCAAATCATCTGTTTACAAACTCGCACACAACTTGTGCACTACAATTCAAGTCTCATTTATCCAGTCATCTGCTGAGTACTTCCCAAACACACAGCCCTTTCCAACAGAGAACTGAACCGAATGTATCTATGCTCTCGTCAAAGCCCCCAGACTTCATTGACAAAAACATTAATTTTACCTTGCTGAACACAGGAGTTGCTGGTCTACCGCTGCCTCAGTTGGTTAGTCTGTTTGTGTTACTGTGTGACTTTGGTGCATCTGAACTGACCCTTTAAAAAGCCAAAGTTAAACACTAACACAAGCTAACTAACTGATTGAGGCAGCGTTAGACCAGCAGCTCCTGAGTTCAACAATGTTAAATTACTGGAGTCTGGCTTTGAAGAGAGTGATGTTAACATCTTCAGTTCCTCTTTGGAAATCGCTGTCTGGTGGCTAGGGAAAACTGTGAAAATATTGCAAATATAGTGTACATGTTAACTGATATTGATTTTTCAATATTCAATTTAATAGTTTCTTGATGTTATTACTTTACTTTGATGAATCTGAACTAACTCTCCTAAACACCAAGGTCACACAATAACAAACTGACTGTTTTGATAGTTCAATCATCAAAGTATTCTTAAAGCAGAAATGCCACTCATAATTTCCTTCTAGCTTCTCAAGGATTTGCTGCTTTTCTCTCTTTAAATCATTGCGAATTGAGTATCTTGGTGTCATGGAGCAGCCAGTGCTTGTAAAAAAATTGGTTTTAGGCCTTTAATTACCACAAAGCCTCCCAGCTGTACCACAAACCAAAATGAATACTCGATGTCTTGGTTGCAAACAACAAACAACAAAGGATCAGCGTCGGTCTCAGTTAATTTATGTGAGCAAACAGATGCAGATAGAAACTAAACCAAAATAATTAAGGGAAGAGAGGTATCATCCATTAGTTAAGACCTGCCTTATAAACGTTTGGGAACCAACTAGTGACAAACGACAGCCTGCTACCATGACAAGGAGCAATATAAAGATGCCACTTAGAGTATTTTTCACCATTTTCTGACATCTAACAGACCTGATAAGTGATTGATTACAGTAATTTAAAAAATTACCTGTAATGAAAGTACTCATAAGTTGCGACCCTATATCAGAGTAAAATAATTATATTATATTAACATATAAATATATTTATACAACAGTAAGTCCCGGCCCTGCAATCTGATTGGTCGAGAGACAGTAAAACCGTGACGATATTGGAGTACAACATCACGGTTATTTCACTGTGTATGTATCACTCTGCCTCACAGCTGATTGCAATCAACAATCAAATCAAAACTGACGGTTAGTGTCAGTTAGGTCAGCAGTTGAGTTGTAGGCTAATTAATTCATCCACTGTCAAACAGCCAAAAATATGGATTTATTTCCTAAAATAAGTTTTGAATTGAACTATGAATGGTCATCAGAGGAAGATGAGGGAGAGGAGAAGCTGAATCCATCTGAGCACACATCCAGGTTTGTCAGTGTTTCATCAGCGGAGCTCAATGACTTGGAGAAAAGCAACATACTGTCAGATCAGAAGGCAGAGTCGGCTGTGCCTGTGAAGCGACAGTCCACCATGCAGTCACCACAGACTTATTTCACCGACTGCACATTTAATGGAAACGTGCAGATAAATGTGTATAAAGAGTAAGTGCCTGGCGCACCATGTCTGCGTTACATAGCAACGGTGACAGTGGAGTCCTGAGGGAACTCAGACAAATAAAATGCTTAAATTATCTATTTTGTCCTCATTTTTCAACATTTCTTAATCAGCCTTGCTTATTTAACTTATTTAACGGCTGTGATTCGGTCATAGGCACGAGGCCACAGGCCGAGTGCTGAAGACAATCGTCACTCCCTCTCATGTGATATTGCTTAAGTAGATAATGTCGTTTGTACAAGCAGCAATTACAACCAATATTTATGTTTATTCTAAGGCTGCGACCTCTAGTGGCTGCACTAATTATGACGAGAGGAGAGGAGGAAGTCAGGTGATGCAGAATAAAGAGCTATAAATTTTGCTTAGTGAGGGGAGGTAAATGGGTCAATCAAACGCAGGACTTTCATCCAGGAGACTGGAATTTGTGTCCTGCAGGAAAACACTGAGTTATTTTAACAACGTTATGTAGCATGTCACGTGCGGTACATCACCTGAGATATGTCTTGTTACTTTATATTAGTAACAAACACACTTTTATAAAGCCAAACCAATTTTTTATAAACTTACCTACCTACCTACCTACTAACTTGAAACCATTTTTTTAATGGAAGTACAGTATGTGTAAAGAGTCTGAAACACAGTCACAGAGAAAAGGAGATGGGCTCGTGCCAGTAAGATTATTTTGAGATTTTTTTTTTTTTATGCTTTTTGTCTTCATTTGATAGGACAGATATAGCAGGAAACGGGCAAAAAGAGGGGTAATGACAGCAAAGGGCAGTGGGTTGCAATTCAGCCCTCGGCTGCTGCAGCAGGGACACAACCTTTGTACATGGGGCACCTGTTCTACCAGGTGAGCTAATGGGTGCCCCTGTGACTGTCAATTTTAATAAACCGGTATACGGTTTCACAATATACTGCTGCAACCCTGTTTAAGAGATGCTTCTGTGGGTTGTATTCAGAGGGTGGGAATGCCAGTGTAGTTATATAGTGTGGAGGACTTGCTGGTTAATTTATACCATTTCATGCCCTGTTATGATAAATTCTTATATTGTTTTAAAGGTTACAGCAAAAACAAACAAATTTTGAATTTAAATGACAAGAACATTATTTTCTTTCTGTCACTTTACTCTGTGTTGTAGTTTGTTAAACTACAAATGCAACTCGTTTGATTTATAACGTGTACTTTACACTTTTTTCCCTTATGAATGAGTCGTAAAACTGATCCCTCTTAACGTGTGTGCCTGTGTGCGTGTGCACACACAGTATCTGTGCCTCTAACAATGCTCCTGTCCGTCTCCTCTGTACATTATCTAATGCAGCAGAAACATTATAAGACATACTGCTGTGTTATCTGTTTCTCCCAGGTCTCCCTTTGCTGCAGTGGCAGACTACTCAGTAACCCGAAATAATGTCATTCAGCTCTGCCTGGAGCTCACCACCATTGTACAGCAGGTGAGTGTAATTGTTTGTGTGTGTGTGTGTTTTGAAGGCTGATAGCTCTTATTCTGCCATGGTTGTCATATCCCCCTAAGAACGGTGTGTGTGTGGGTGTGATGCAGCAGCCTCAGACTCGCTGCATCCTTGAGCGAGACTTGATTCTTTGCTATTTACGTCCTAACAGTCAGTCTGTCTTTTGTATGAGTGATGTGTGTGTAAATAAAAGATAAATGTGTCTGTTTGCGTGGGCGTGTATTTTTTCTTAATCTGCAAGGGTATATAGTGTTCAGGTGCAGGGTTCAGTAATGTGAGGCCCAGACACTATACAAAGCAGTTAGATGGTGTGTGTTTTTTTGAGCATTTGCAAGACAGGATGTTCTGCTCGCGCTACATTAAATTCTGCTTTTCCCCCAGGACTGTACGGTGTTTGAGACAGAGAACAAAATCCTTCATGTGGTGAGTCCTTCTCCCTCAGCCAGCTGTCACTTATTTGCTCCGTGTTGATGCGAAGTGTCCTGTTTTTTTTTTCTATTAATTTTAAGATATCACATTCTCTCACTCACACAATACTCCACAAACCCAGAAACTCAGGCTCCAGCTGGATCTAGTATTTGAGTTAATCTTAAAGTCACTACATCTTGTAGTGTTTTATAATAATAGTTTGACATTTTGAGGAAATATGTGATATTGCTTTCTTGCAGAAAGTTAGATGAGGAAAATCAGTATTATTGTGTAAAATATGAAGCAACAAACAAGATGTGATTAACTTAGATTAGCATGAGGACATAAAGCAGGAAAAAGTAACTTCTGGAGTCTTGTTGCCAACCTGAGCTTGTTAGGTGATCAGCAAGGTAACTTCACAGAGGAATACATTTTTATTCATCAAGAACGTTGTCGTATGTGATGAAAGTTTATTGCTTTTACTTTTTTTGTCCATGCACTGGTCAACGTGTTAATTTGTAAGCTTTAGAGGTGCTGGTAAGCATAGCTTTGATATTTAAAAGAGCTATGCTAGCAGTTTCCCCCTGCTTCCGATCTTATGCTAAGCTAGGCTTACTGCCTCCTAGCTTGGGCTCCATACTTTGCTGCATTGACCCAATATAGGCAGAATGGGAAGAAAAGGAAAATGGACATACTGCTAGCCTTGTTGTCACATGATTTAAATAGCTTAAATTAGCTACTTTTCCAGTGTAATGTATTTAATATAAGCAGACAGTGTATAACCCCCTTAAATTAGCTGATCCGATCACAACAAGTGGACAGCTCTAATTCGATCTGTTTACAAGTGGTATTAGAATTCATCTCCATGTGCTTCTTGAGTGACCACTTGTGACAAGATCTCACTACCCCGCTCTATATGCAAATAAACACATTATAATTTCCGTTTGCAATTCAAATAAACACAAGAAGTTTGCGCTCTAGAGAAAGGATCAGCACTCAGTGAATAACCTCCTAAGCCCAATGGTAAGCTATTATGGCAAGGCGTAACTATACAGACCAGTGAGCAGTGATAACTGTCTTGGGGTCATCTTTGGGGTCATCAGGTGGGAACCTCCTTTCACCTGTGTTTCATTTAGTTGGTCAAACGACACCTCCAAGAGGCTAGACAGTGATCTCTGGCGTCTCAGAGACACTCCACTAATGCCAGGTCTCACTGCTCCCCGCACCAACCGAACAATCTCCTTTACCCAACATACACATGGCTTTCTCAGCCCAAACAACGCTGCCAAATTCAACAAACCCAGTCTCCGTTCATGCTCCATTCAAAGACCAAAGTGTTGTTGTAATGGGCAGGAGGCAGCAACGCACTTTCCATGCCTAGTCTGCCAGAAAAAGAGGAAGAAGAGGAGAAGAAGAACAAGGAGGAAAGATGAGGAGGAAGCTTGCTGAAGAAGGAGTTTGCTGAGGAAGAAGAAGAAGAAGAAGAAGAAGAAGAAGAGGTTTGCTGCAGAAGAAAAAGGAGTTTTTTTAAAGAAGTTTGCCAAAGAAGAAGGAATTTGCTGAAGAATAAGGAGAAGGAAGAAGGAGTTTGTTGACGAAGGAAGTTTGCCGAAGAAGTTTGCAGAAGGAGACGTTTGCTGAAGAAGAAGGAGAAGAAGAAGAAGTAGTTGGCCGAAGAAGAAGGAGTTTGCTGAAGGAGGAGTTTGACAAAGAAGAAGAAGGAGAAGAAGCTTGCAGAGGAAGAAGGAGTTTGCTGAAGAACTAAGTTTGCAGAAGAAGAAGTTTGCAGAAGAAGACGTTTGCTGAAGAAGAAGAAGAAGTTTGAAGAAGGGGTTGGCCGAAGAAGGAGATGCTGAAGAAGGAGGAGTTTGACTAAGAAGAAGAAGCTTGCAGAAGAAGAAGGAGTTTGCCGATGAAAAAGGAGTTTGCCTAAGAAGGAGGAGTTTGACTGAGAAGAATTAGAAGCTTGCAGAAGAAGGAGTTTGCCGAAGAAAAAGGAGTTTGCCTAAGAAGGAGGAGTTTGACTAAGAAGAAGAAGAAGCTTACAGAAGAAGGTGTTTGCTGAAGAAAAAGGAGTTTGCCTAAGAAGGAGGAGTTTGACTAAGAAGAAGAAGTTTGCCGAAGAAAAAGGAGCTTGCCTAAGACGGAGGAGTTTGCCGAAAAATAAGTTTGCATAAGAAGGAGAGAGGAGCACCCTCCAATAAAGTTGTTTGCAGAAGAAGAAGTTTGCAAAGAGTTTGTGCAGGCAAAATCAAAATAATACAGACAGGGTCTATTCCTTGGCATGGTCTAGGCAAACCTAAGCAGCTTCTTTTACTTGTTTCGCGCTTTCAAACAATGCCATTGTCGTGTGCATGAGTGTGTACTTCCACCTGTGCAGGGGACGTCAACTGAGTAGGCAGTCCTTCAGTGTGACCCAGGACACATTATCGTTCATACTGCTGGCCATTTGTGGCCCAGACCCCCTCCACATGTGTTCTCAGCAATGTCATCTCAAGACTCATTCACACCAGCTGTCCACTTGTGATCACCTAGGACACATTGATGCCAGGTATAAAGAGGGCCTTAGTGGGACACGTCATCGCTGTCGTACACTTTTAGAATTACAACGTCGGGACTGAGGTGAAAGAATTTTCCAAGTTGTTTGCTCTTAATCATGATTTAAAGGTTCTAACTGAGGCATAGGGAACATACATGAGAGTGGACTCAATCTTCTCATCAAACTCTTAGCAGGATAGCAAAGAAGCACATTTCCCAAAATGTTAATTCCTCTGAAGGGTTGGTTCAGTGCACTTGTAGTGATATTTTCTAGGCAGCCAGATTTGATTTACTTTGTTCAGGACATATTTGAGATTTTCCTCTCTAAGATTTTAGCTTCCACACCTATACAACCAAAGTAAACAACATTTGAAACATTTAAAAACAGCATCTTCTTTCAGAAAAAAGAAATGTCCCTGTTATTGTGGATCAGTGGTTCCCAAACTGGGGGGCAGGTTAAGTTTAATTGACCATTTTCACAGCAGTCATTTTGACTTGTCAAACACTGGTGTTACTAATACACTCACTAATTACTGCATTGCATTGCAGTAATCACTGGAACGGAGCCATCGTCAATGTTATTAGTTCCACCTGTGCTTTCCCTGCTATGACAAGTCGAAATGTCTGCTGTGAAATGTCTGTTGTGTATGACTCCAGTTCCTCTAGGAACAACACAAGTGCTCTGACACTAGAAAGGCTGTCCAGATTCACGCTAGGTAAAATATATTCAGCGAAATGTCACGTACAGTGTTGAGTTCACTGCTAATACTACAGGAAGCTTTCTGTCTTTTGTAAATGTTTCTTGAAAAAGTTTGAGAGCCACTGTTGTGGATTACCCAGAAAGTACATTGTCAGCTATTTTTATTCTAACTGCTTTATAGCAGGGAAATGGTCCCTAAAACTGGCGGCACCATGTTGTGTGGAGTCTGCTTTCTGTTTGTTTAATCTTTTAATGCTGTGGGCACCACCAATTTATATTCACCTCAATTTAGACAGATATCAGAAAACCCAAACTATCTGCACAGCTAAATACTACTTGAGGCAAGTGAAAAAATATGTTCTCTTTTTGTAATTTAGGCCAGCTGACCCTTTGAAGTGCTACAGGAAGTGCCAGTCATAAACCATAGCTGTGTTAATAGTGGCAGCCTCTAAATGTATTGAGATTAGAAGGGAAGGTATGTTACTTTCTCAGTAAAGCAAAAGAGAAAACCTTTAATAACGACACAAAAGCTGCAGGTTTAGGAAGATACACGTTGTTTTTTTTGTGTTTTCATCTGTGTTTTCTGAATTAAGCACCACTGCTGACCCTCTTTTCTTCTCTGGTAGTGCAAGACTCTGTCGGAGGTGTGTGAGCACATAGTGTGTGTGTCATCGGATCCGCTGGTTTCTCAGTCAGCCCACCTCGAGCTGGTTCACCTCACCAACATCAAACCCTCTGAGGGCCTGGTAATGACTCTGTGTGTGTGTGTGTGTGTGTGTGTGTGTGTGTGTGTGTGTGTGTGTGCTCGGCTTTAGCATCACTTTCAGTATGAGTGTCTGTGGGTAATTCAAGTAGTATTTGTCTGTCTTTTATTCATTTGATGTGTGTAATGATCACTAGATTACTTGGACGATACAGTATTAGCTGATATCATAAAGTCTGCCATGATACTAGTTCGATTTTATTCAATTCAGAGGCCGATCGATATGAGATGATATCAGTACATAAAACCAGCATGCACAATATCAGGGCCTTGCTAAATGGAATGCAGCTATAATTAATGTTATTGGATCACCTGTGCTTTTCCTACTATGACATGTCAAAATGTCTGCTGTGAGAAAGTTCTGTTGGATGAAAATGGTGACACAGACCTGCTATGAGAATTTCAGAATTAAGGCATATCTTAAAGATGGCATTATGTATCGAAGTTTTCCCTTTGCATCGCTAATGTTGGATTGTTGATCATTGAATCGATGTATTGATACGGATCGATCTATTCTTACATCCCTTGTTTATTGTACGATAAGGGACCTATAACTTTGGAAGTAATTTTCTGTGAAAGTTCAATACCACAACCCATATTTAGTTTCTTCAGCTTTTTTTGTATAAATGTTAAAAAAATGACATGTCCAATGGCAGGGTATAGAGTACAGTATTAGCCAGAATTTAAGATAAACCTGATTATGAGATGACCCTCTGGAATGGATGGCTCTGGAATACAATTAAAAATCTCTTTGGTTTACATGCAGACATAATGCAGTTATGGCAGATTGAATACATATGAACAAAAAAGGGTGGACATTTCCTTTTGTAAACATAGAACCAACAAAAACAACCAAAGTTCTGGATTTTTTGATAAATAGTCAAATCATTATGATTAAAAAACATGTTTTTTGGTTTTGGATGGAATTTGGTGTACTGTAATTGCATAACCTGCTTTTACAAGTTAAAATTTCCAACACATTGAGAGACTTATAACAGTGTCAGATAGAGATTAGCTGCTTCCAATTTGGATGCTTTTCCAGGTTGGCAAAATATCTAGATCTGTTAAGCTCCGCTGCGAACAAATCTCTTATCAAATCTTTTATGTCTCCTCACTCTTTTTATTAAAAAGAGTAATGGAAAACAAGTAGGTGGCAGCTTTTCATTTTTAGCCAACTGTCGCTACTTCAAATGACAGACGTCAGCTGCAGCTAACTAAAGCTAATTCAGTAAAGTTTGGCTGTTCTCTGGCTAATGTGCTGCTCCTGCATGCATTTAGCCGATAATTATTTGTGACCTTGTGTCAATTTGAAAGGACAGTTCACTCTAAAATCAAAAAAACATATTTTCCTCTTACCATCATTGTAGATGTTTTGATTTGAGCTGCAAAGTGTTGGAAATATCGGCCACTCTGTGCAGTGTAATGGAACTAGATGACAATCAGCTCATGGTGGAAAACTCAACAGCAATGTCTCTTTCCAGAAATCATGACCCGGTTACTTAAGATCAGTGGTTCCCAACTGGTGGGTCACGGTCCAAAAGTGGGTTGCGGGTCCTTTCTAAATGGAATGCAAATGACTCGCAAACATGTCAAGTTTGTAAAAATAATAATGGTAACAAAAACCTTTATTTTTGAAGTTGAATTTTCAGCACAAGCTTTAATTCTGAAGTGCCGTTTCCTGTTGTAGAACAGACAGAACAGACAGCTGCTTAACAGAGACAGCCAACTAGCTAGACAACATGACCAAATGTAAGTATGATGCCATATATATTACATTTTGTGGACCTTGAAATAATGACTAAGGAGCAATCTGGACCCCATTGCTGGACTAGTTTGGAGCCACTGCTCAAGATAATCCAAAGACCTTGTTTTGAAACAACAGTTTCATGAAGGAACTATTTTCTTTCTACTATACTACACCCACCAACCTTATCACTGCACAGACGGAAGTGTGCGTGGATGCGCTTGTGTTTGTGATAGTACGAGATGTAAAAATTAATGCCATATCATCCTTTGCTGAACTGTAACTTAAGATAGCTTAGTGGTGCTAGGTGAGCTAGCAGTAGATGCATGCTTCCTTTTGCGCAGTGATACAGTTGGCGTAAGTGTAGTTCAGTAGAAAGAAAATAGTTCCTACATGAAACTGCTCACAACAAAGTCTGTGGATTATGTTGAGTAACCGAGTCATGATTTCTTGAAAGAGACATTGCTGTTGAGTTTTCCACCACAAGCTGAGTGCCATCTGGTGCCATTATATTGGAGAGTAGGCAGACATCTGTACGGGTGATATCTCCAACACCCAGAAACAAACACCAAAACAATCTAGGTTTATAAATAGCACTACAGGTAAGAGTAATAATATGTAATTTTGATTTGGGGTGAACTGTCCATTTAAAAATCTCCTAGTTAAATTTTGACTCATTACATTTGAATCTGATCAATGAGCACAGAAGGCTACAGCTGTTAAATTAATATGTTAGATACATTTAATTAAAATTTCATATATTCTGCTGCTGCTCTCATTTTCAGATTGTAACTACTTTAAATACGCTGCCACTAAAAACTGTTGTTTTTTTTCCTCTCAGCCAACAAACTGTGATAAGACTGTTTGACTTGTAGCTTTTTAGCCTTCAGTTACTTGCTTTTGTTGAAAGGTAAAGCTAATAAGATTTGATAAGGGATTCGAAGGGATTCAGAAAAGTCTGGTGCTTTACCTACTGAGCCAAACAAAGCCTCTTTCCTCCCTCTGTCCATCAGGGAATGTACATCAAGTCAACTTATGACGGCCTCCATGTGATCACAGGAACTACTGAAGGGGTAAGAGGCTTACAATCCTGTTTTCACACCTTCACATGCTGAACACCAGCCAAGCAGTGAATTTCATCTGTGACATAAACAAATTAATTCCCACAAACACCAATGAAATAGATTCCCCTTCACACCCAGGGGCTGATGTGCATAAAAAATCAATTCTTACTTTAGAAAACTGACAACATTTAGAGCCATTACTGCATATCTGATTCGATGAAGATGACTCTGCAAGGCTTTTCCTCTGTTACATTACAGCGTGTTGAAGTACAGTTTGTCAGCCAGCACTGGCATGCAGCGATCAATAAAGTCAGATCAATTCATAGTCGCCTGTTTCTCTTCTGTCTCTGTAGTCTCCAGCTGACCGCTGTAAGAAGATCCATGCAGGAGATGAAGTCATACAAGTCAATCACCAGACTGTGGTGGGTTTCTTATTGTGTATGTGTGAGTGTTTGTGTGCTCCTATATGTTGTAAATATATCTTTTGTGTTTATTCACTTACTGTTGTTTACTGCTATTGACTGGATAGGGTTAAATGCATGATAAAGGACCATTCTGTCCTTTTTAACCCTGTATATTAGAGGGCAGCCAACACTGTGCCCGCAAGCTCCTGGTTGCCCACAGGGAGCCAATGAATCGCCTGCAGGGCACGTTCTAAAAATAACTGTGGTCAAGCCAGCCCTCACTTGCATGTCTGTGGTCAAATCAGCTGATACTAATACAAGCAAATCTGTATTATTCAGGAAGATTATATCAAACAAGCAGCCCTCCATGTTACTCTTTACCCCTCCGTTAGCTGTCTGGCTCAAAAAGGTTGGTGACACCAGAAGAATTTGGACTATGGATGAAAAAAATACATTGTCTGTGTGTATGTCTCTCAAATGTTTAATCATAGTAACACAGTTCTAATGATGTTAAGTTTTCAGTTCAATTGAGAACACAAATGCAGAACAGTAGGCAGGCAGGTGGACTAAACAAAAAGCGAGCTTTAATGCAGCTGGTGAAATACATCCAAATCAGGCGAGCAACAAAAACTGAAGATGCAGGCAGAAGTGACTCAAAGAACAAAAGAAAGAAACACACAAACTAAACTGAGAACAAACCAGAATGTCACAATGAATACAGGGATAAACTCGGGGAAGCAATCCAACACGGAACACTAGAGACCAACATGGGCAAAGAAAACGGAGCAAAGAATGATAACACAAACACAGATAAACTGACAAAGGACAAAGGGAAAGACACAGGTGTATATACACACACAGGCCCAATCACAAGAACAAGACACAACTAGAGTAGACGGGCACGGGCAAAGGGAGGGAAATACAGGGACTGCATGACAATGAAGACATCTAGGGTGTGGTAGGGAACACTAGGGTGGAGGAAACAAGGCTAATACGAGACAGGTGTGCAGAGAAAACTCTGGAGCAAGGAGGGAGTAACGAGACTGAATCAAAGAAGGAGTGTATTAAAACATGCAGGAAACAGACAAAGGTAGGAAGTAAAGCCTTCCACAGACGATGAGACAATCCTTTAAGTTTAGTGCAAACTACACTGTGCAACATGGATCTAATAAACTTGGGTACAACATCAAGTTTGATGAATGCAGACTGTACGATGACAGTGCCTACTGAATCGCAGGCTACAACCTAAAGCCTCACATACTGAATGCAAAAATTGCCCAGTGTATTCCTGGCTTAAGGATGCTGCACAAGTTATTACTTTTCCCACAAGTTATTACTTTTCCCAACATAGAGGGTCACATTATTAAATAACCTAAAGTTTGGTGCACAATATATACTGTGGTTACTCACCCAGCAGCTGCAACTCTTCTGCTATTTCCTTCCACGCTTCATCCTTTTGTATGTGATTAGGGTAATAGCTGGAGGACACATCATACAGGCAAGGCTTCTGCTGCCACAACTCCACAAGGTGTTCCTTTTTGCTGGAATCCCACACATTACTTTTAGCCCATCTTGCCTCCGAGCGAGCTGATATCCTTCTGTTTGTTTGGGTTTAGCGCCAGTGTGTAATTTCATGCTGCATTTCCATTGGTTGGTTAGACCAAGTTGTAACAGCAGCCACACAGTGAGATGGTCATCCCAAACTTCTGACACTGTCAAAATTTTATTCCAGGCTGTCTTTTACCACAAGACGGTGACAACGGCCATCCTTGAACCTCTCGTACTGTGTGACATAAGACCACCGTTTTAGAGCCACGACCAAAGATATCGCCACGTTAGTCATCTTTCATCAGGGACAGCCCAAAATCGCACAATGTATACCAAGCTTTAGACAAGACATGATGTAAGGAGAGTGACCTTAAGCATAAACAAACTGTTAGCAAAACCTAGCATCTGATGCCTGTATTCACAGACATTGCAGATGTAAACAAATATTAAAGCTGCTGTGATCCGTATTTTTATCATAACAATGGGTCAAATAATGTGAAAAGGGTCACTTCTTATGATGAATCCAAAGGTAACTCACAGTCTCTGCATGTTTTAGCTTCTTTTAGCTCATCGTTTTGGTGTTCTTCCCCGCAACTTTACTGTTTTGGTTCAGCCTCAACGCTCTCATGCTGTAGCGACATTCTCAAGCCGTTTTCAGCAAAATAAAGCTCTAAAAACCCACAGTACGCCACCTGCTCTGTACCAAAAAGCAGACTCACACAGTTAGAGACTAGCTGGTGGACACAGAGGAGCATTAAACAGCTTAAGAATCAGATATTTCCTCCAGGAGGTGGTGGAGACCAAAAACAGAGCTAAAAGAGGGTGAATGTTGGACTTACATTCATCAGGTGGCTAACAAGTTTGGCACATCAACATCAGAAAGTGATAAAAATGACAGTGTGGTGTGACAGCTTGTTTCTGCTACAAAAAAAAATCTGTTATTACAGGTTTGATATCATCCAAAAAGATTAATTTGAACAGCAGATTTTAACAGTGAGATGAGGTTTTTATCTTCTGCTCTGATGTATTATGTATCAGCGTAAACCCCTTGAAATTTTGTTTATTCTGGTTGTTATCTAGTCCTTGCACTATAAGAGATGTCAATCAAATTGGGAGTTAAAACTGGTTGTAATTATGTGTTTTTTGTGGTCCGGCACCCTGTCTGTTTACATCTATACTGCAGATTGTATCCTTACGTTAACAAGATGCAGATGCATGCAGCTTGCATTGCAATTAGTGTAATCAGATGCTTCAGCCCTCTCCACACCTCCTCTTGCATTATGATCAGATCTCAGGTTAATCCCAGATTTGCCATAATTAGAAAGTATCTCTCTACATAAAGAATGAATGACTAAAAGGTAAAAAAGAAATAGCTCTGGACAAAAAGGAAAAAAATAAAGTTCTGGTGACCATTCATGGCAGCCATTTTTATTTTTTGTGTACAGTTTTTGTTCACAAATGTCCTATAAACAAACAGTGTTGGCATAGTACTGTGAAAACAGTGGCTAAAAAAGAAGATAAATGTATGATAAGATGCATTTGTTTTCAAATTGAGGGCAGGTTACATCACATGAAAGCTCTATAGATAGACTTACCACCTCCACACCCACTTGCACAGAAGGCTCAACAAGCGAGGTCCAATCACGACGTGGACAGAATTCAAACTACAGGCTGAATATAAATATGCTGCTGTGATTTCATTGTTCATTTACCCAGATGATGATGATGATAACTAGACTCTGCGACCCTCTCCCGTCCACAGGTGGGCTGGCAGTTACGTAACCTGGTTGGCTCGCTGAGGGCTGATAAAGGTGTCGTGTCCCTGACCCTGAAGAAGCGTCCGCAGAGCACGCTCAGCTCCGCCCCTGCTCTGCTGAAGAACATGCGCTGGAAACCCCTGGCTCTGCAGGTGGGACCAGCTCTACCTTTTATAGACTTTATTAAGGCACTGCGCTGGCCCACATAACTCCCCACAGCATTCCTACTCCCTGTACAGCTGCAGCCAAAGCGTGTAATTAGGTCACGATACTGTGGCTCAGCAGGGTTTTGTTTGCCAGCTGAAACACACTGGGATGAATGGGAAGGGAAAATTGATGGCACCCTCCACCCACGATCCCAGTGCACCCGCAATTATGAAATTTATCTCCCTAATTAACACTGATTATCTCCACAATCATGAGGAAACTCAGAGGAAAACAGTTTTTATCTGCCCTCCATCACTGTTTGGGTTGTCTCTGTCATGTCTCTTAAAGGTTCAGTATGTGACATACAGATATTTAATATAGCAGCAAACAGCTATTCGCTATGTAAAGATATAGTGGAGTTATGAAGTGCTGAGCAGAGAATTTGTTGTAAACCAAGCCTCTCTGTTGTAATGGTTGATGGTCTGGCTACACGTGCATGTTAACGCATGTGAGTCCTGTGAGTGTGTCTCAATGGTTCGCCAATCAGTGCTGCTTTGCACTGCCATCATACGGCGGTTACCACTGATAACGGCAACATCATTAGTGTGAAAGTGTCGCACCAATCATTTGGTTCTCCCCTGGTTAACACTGTTGGCTCTGTTAGCACTGTTCATGTCATTAGCATTGTTAGCTGCTAGCTCAGCCAACTCCTTGCTGAGAGCCATGTGCAGACAATCCGAGCTCAGACTAAAAATATGTTCTGATTGTTGCATACAGCTCCTTTAAGAGATCATTTTTGGTTTATTACATTTTTTATCTACGCTGTCTCCTAGAAATTACATGCAGATACTGCTAATTTGACTTTAATACATTTTAAAGAAAATGTGAAATATGTTTTCTTTTAGTAATTTTCTAATACCAACCAGATTTTTGTTGGGAGGTGGATAATCATGCAGGATCCTGCCAAAGTAGACACGTCCCATCTCTGCATTAACATCACCATAAACATGTCGATTACATTCTACATTAGGGCTGGCACCATATCAGATTTTCACTACATGATTATCTTGGCCAAGACAGTTAGCAGTAATAGTAATATCGTGGTATCTAGCAAATTGATCTTTAACATTATTGTGTGCCGGTACACTCACAATACAAGTGTAGGTAAATGGACAGGAAGACAAAGCAAGAATGAAAAGGTATTATCTTAAGTGGCTCGTTAATATGATATCAATATTTCATTTTTTAAATATCATGGTTATTGTCGATACTGGTACACCTCAACACCTCTGTACCACATGCTACGAGCACATAGTGTAAGGAAAACATGTGAAACACAGGGTCAGGCAACATTTTGCAGATACATTCTGTATCTGTATTTTCTTATCCACTTGACTTATTCACAGCCTTAAACACATTTGCTGTTGCAAATTTGTAGTACGCAAATAATTTCTGGGAGACGGAGTTACTGTTTGTTGTACTCACTAAATTGACATGATGACATCCTTACAACAAAGTCTGACAGGGCAAAGAGCACAAGTGGTCAGGTTGGAAACAAGGCCACTGTGTTAGGAGGTGAAACCGAAAGTAAGCACACCTGAAACGTCTGGAACAGCAAGATCTGAATAAAACTGAAACAGGAAGTTAGTCTGTAAACTGTAATGGACAAGGGACAATTTGGGTCATCTAATTTATCTAACCATAGTTTCAAACCTGTATGACTGCCTGCCTGCTGGCGTTTCTTGCCTCATCAGACTTCTTTTTAATGATGTTGCCACAATCTTAGAAATGTTATTGCTGTACATAATTGCCAGCAAACACTCCAGAGGTTTAGAGGCTGAGGTAGCCAACCGGCACTGTGGTAAATTAATGCTTTAGTTTGTTATTTACGTGGCAAACATTAACCTGAAGCAAATGACTTCAGTGTGGTCTTTTTCAGATCATCTTTATCTTGGAATTGTGTTGGAGTTGCTTGAACTGTTGTGCCCCCCCCTCATTCAAACAGGTGACCACAATGAGCATGTTGTTGCCCCCTACTGGTCAGTTTAACTGCCCAGATATTATATGACCACCAAATCGAAATAGCCATAATTGCTCCAACAGTTACTTGAAACTTGAAAAACTTGAAAATAGGATCCAACTTTGAATGAATCATCACTTAAGGTTCTGGATATGACATTCAGATTATTAATATAGCAGCAAACAACTATTTGGATGTAAAGATATAGTGGTAATGGCGTCCTGTGTGGAGAATGAAGTCATACTCTCTCTGTATGTGTTGTTATCTGTGTTCTCTGTTTGTTGCTGTGGTAGATGGTCAGGCCACGTGTGTATCCCAGCGGCGAGATTTGCACTGTGCTTGCACAGTGGTTTTCGCTGATATGGGGATGGAGTCATCGTGGAAGTGTAGCACTCACCCTCCACTTACCCCCTGGTTAACACTTTTAGCTTTGTCAGCACTGTTACTGTTGTTAGCACTGCTTATAGAGTTAGCGCCAATAGCTGCTAGCCACATGCATAGCCATCTCCATGTTGAAACAGGGCGGCAGTGCCTCAGTCCATAGGGACTTGGGTTGGGAAGTGGAGGGTCGCCTGTTCAAGTCCCAAAATATGAAGCGTGGACTGGTGGCTGGAGAGGTGCCAGTTCACCTCCTGGGTGCTGCCGAGGTGCCCATGAGCAAGGCACCGAACCCCCCAACCGCTCGGAGCACTTGTCATGGGCAGCCCACTCTGACATCTCTCCACTTAGTGCATGTATAGGTCCTGTTTGTGCATGTGTGTGTTCAGACCTGTGTGTAATTGACAACAGAGTGAAAAAATTTCCCATCGGGGATTAATAAAGTATATGGAAAAAAACCCCAAAAAAATGTGTGCAGACAATTCCCCTGACTCTGGATCATACAATAAGTTTTTCTATGACATTAGAGAAAGTTGATTTATTGTGTTAGTCTGACTAAAATCAGACTCATAGAATACATGTAAACGTATTAATCTGACTGAAATCGTACTAAACCCAATTTCCCAAAGTCAGACTAACACCCAGATAATGCGTTTGGGAGTCAAATTACTCCTGCATGTATACAGTCAATCGGAACCAAACTGGCCTCGGCACTTTGTGCATGCTCCACAGGTTCTGCCCGGGCTGTGACCTAGAAGTCGAATAGTATGAAATGCGTAACAGAAGAAGCCTGTACAATATGGCAAAATCTACATCCCGAGCCATGCACTTTTGGACGGACGAAATGTACAGAGCTGTGAAGATGTCCACCATGGTACAAGTTTGCCACTTGCTAACTGTAGCTAACTTGTTCGTCGTTTGTTTGGTCTGTGACGTAATAAGTCAACCAGAACAAGGTCCAATACTAACAAGCTAAAAGTAGGCATATTGCCACCTATCGTAGCGGAGTTGGACGTACTTTGGTCAGTCGATTCCCCTCCAGTGCTTGTAAACTAGGACAGGGACAATAGTCCAATTAAATGGCCTAGTTGAGCTGTAACCGTAGCTTGACTTAAATGTGCATGTAAACATATGGATTGATATGCTGTGAATGTCACATAAAGGCTCCTTTAAATTATCCAACTGATTCAAGACATTAAAGTGGAAACACAAATTTTTACCATTCCCAGCTTTTCTAAGTGGTGTTATGTTGGCACTGCTGTTGCAAAAACTAGCGGACACACCACATTTTGTTTTCCAAACTTACTTCGGTTTTTCCATCACCTGCCATTTCCACCAATGGGCATAGTACCTACAAAGAACTCATGCTAATATTCTTTGGTAACTGGGGATAGTTACCCATAGCTACCAGGGAAAAAAGAAGTGCTCTCCACTTCCTGTTTTGGTTGCACAGTGGTCGATGCACTTCTTTTGTGCTGTAAATCGAGCCTTCATTTTCCCTGGAGATTGACCCAGTGGCAAACAAAATTGCATAGTGAAAGCGAGGCTTGTAGAGAACCACTATAAACACCAATGATGTCATTATTCTACAGCTATAACATTGGGCTATCAACATTTACTTAATAATGATAAGTTAAAGCAAAAATCTGGTCTATTGTCACTTTAAAGATGTCAGAAACCTGTAAAACAAATAAGTAAAAGTTTAAGAAAAGATCTGTTGTGACCTTTTTTCTCTATGCAGCCAACCAGAAGCCCAGGCAGTGGTTCGGGCACACCCTCAGGCACACCCACTAAAAGCTCTGCCCTCCAGGACCTTTACATCCCACCTCCACCTGCTGAGCCATACACACCCAGGTACAGTGTCAGTGTCTTTGTTTCTCTTCTTTCAAAGAAAAGAAATGATAAGAAAGTAAAATTGGTGACAGCAAAGAGGAGCTTTGACTTTGATGTAAAATTGTTTGCCGGTAAATTCGCCTCTGCTGTTGCCATAGAGATGAGACAGGAGCCTTGTCTGGAGATGAGGCATCTCGTAACCACGGTGGCGTCAGCGTTGCTAAGCGCTCTGAGTCACCAAACTCCTTCCTGGATCAAGAGTCTCACCGGCGAGAAGAGGAGGAGTCCGTGTACTGCACCACACCTACATATGGTATGAGATGAGAGAAAGAGAGAGTTCAATCTCACTCTGTTGCATCGAACCACTTCAAAAAACAATCATGAGGCTGAAAACCACCCGCCAGCCTGAGGCGCTTAATAAAAAGTTTAGAAAGTGATGGAGCTCTGTACGTTGTGGGTAAAGTAAAGAGAAAACTTTGCAAGAAACCAAAATATCACATATCACAATATAAATACTCCAAGGAGAATATTAAGTTTTTTAATTGTGTACTTGTAGGCAGGCTGAGGCCCATCTCCATGCCTGTGGAGTGTAACTGGGTGGGCGACTATGAAGATCCAGCCAAGCTTAACAGAGAAAGCCGCCGAGGTGAGTGCTGGCGTGTGGAGTGCATATGTGTGTGTGTGCACCTCCTGAGGAGCCTGTTAGATTCAGTTAAATGTTCCCGTCTCTCTGTATTACAAAGAGATCAGTGTGTGTGTGTGTGTGTGTGCGTGTGTGTGTGGGGAGATCAATGCACCTCCATCCCTTTCCTCTAATTCTCCCTATGATTAGCATCACAGAGAAGTGAAATAAGAGGGGATGAGAAGAGACGGAGAGAGAAAAAAAGGGGAAGGTAGACAGTCGGTACAAAGGCAGAGAAAATGAAAGGCAGCCATGAAGGGAGAAAGAATAAAAGAGAGAGATGGGAGGAGGAGGAGGAGGGAGGGAGGGAGGAAAGGAGGGATGAGAGGAGGCAGAAACAGGAAAAAAAAAAGACTATTCTCCCTGACCTCCACCTGAATCACTCACGCAGTTGCCATGGAGACGCTGACAGCAGCTCTTCTCAGTGTCTCACTTTCCTCTGGCCGCTGCCTAGCAACCAGGGGAGGACAGGGTGGGAACTGTGAGGAGAGAAAGAGGTAGTAAGACCTGAGTTTCCTCCCCCAGTGGGAGCAGTGAAGAGGAAGTTGGTTGAAAAAGAAAAAAAAAAAGATGGGAGAGACTTAAAGACAGTGAACCAGAACAAATTCAATAAACACTCAGAGTCGAACAGATTTACTCACAGAGGCATGAACATGTTTCCTCACAGCAGCATTATTGTCCCTGACACTGTAACACATGGTGGGAACATGGATCCATCAGTCCACTAACATATCTCAAGAAATAGTGGTCTGACTTTGGTAATACTACATTGTAATACTCGTCATTCAAAAAAGCAGCCAATGATGTTCTGGCAAGCAACATGTCCTCCAACCCAAACAACCAAATAGGTCAGATGTTCCTACAAAGTGACAGCCACTGTGGCTAAAAAGTAATGAAGCCAACACAGAAGTGCCAAAAACTGCAGTTCCTTAAATGCCCACTTGAGGCTGGCTCCAGAAGTGAGTCAATCCCCATAGATCCCCTTGTTAAAGTGCCCATCTTTACAGCAGAAATAAACATGTTTACATGTTTTCTTGGCGACTCCCTAAATGCCAAGCTTGAGGCTTCAAAATGGGAGTCCATGATCCAATGTGTGACATCACGGTAGCTACAAGATTTTTTCCCAAATTAGCGCACTTATTGGTGGACAGCAGAATAGCTTGTATATGGTCATCAATATCTGCAGCTGTAATCACGTGAATAATGCTGTGGAACGGTCACAGTTGCACCAAAACTACCTGGTTAGGTTAAGGTTTAAAATAAGTACCTTTGTTGCCACATAGCGTGATGTATCTCATAAGACACGTCATATTTGTCACACAACATCACCATACTGTATAGACATCACTTATGTGACATTATGTCATGTTACAAACTAGGTTATATTGTTAAAGTAACTCAGCGCTGACTTTTGGTTTCAAATGTGACACAAACACTAGTCTCCTGGATTCAATTCTTGTTTGTTTGACCTATCCACCTCTCTTCCCTTCCGGATTTTGTCGTTGTTTATACTACATCGCCTGACTTCCACGTTTGCTGCTTTAATAATTACTACAGCCACAAGAGGTCGCTGTCTAACAATAAACGTAAATATGGGTCGTAATTTATGCTTGTAAAAATGTATTATTTAGTTGTGTTTTGGAAGACGGTCTCATTTGGATAATTGGCCGATGATATTTCAAAACCCAGAAGGTTAACTTTTAGAGTTTTTTTCAAACAACTTTATGGGTTTTTCAAAAGTTGATGGTTAATTATCTTTCAGCGAAACTGATGGTTACCTCTATGACCCAAACGTATGCCAATACATGAGACGAACAAATTGGGGTGTATTAAGTTTTTGTCGTACCATTGGACAATGTGTACCAATGTGGTAACAATGGACAGACTTGCTGCATATTTTGCCACCAGATTCAGTGTTAAATAACACTCATGAACCTGCAAAAAATCAAACTGGGAAAAGCGTGCTGCATTTCCAGTTGCATCTGAAGGCTTTACAGATATTTGCACTGTGTTCTGATATTTTCTAAATCGCTGATTAGCTCCATAATTATGTCATGATTAAAGGTCAGAATCTGAAATTTGTTATCTTAAACACTACTGGTCTAATTTTAATGAATCTTTGAGTGATGTGACCTTTTTGCACTGTGTTTTATTTATATATTTTTAATGTATTCTCTAATTAACCCACTGAGACTCCTAATAGGCAGCACTGATGAAGAACATATGACAGTATATAAAACAGAAGATCAATACCGCATGATACTGCAGACAGAATTATAAGACTGAGTCTAATTTGGGCATTCCAGCTCCAGGTAAATTCAGAATATGATATTTATGTAAATTTGATGGCATTTACAGAAGCATCACTGATGCGTTACGTGGGACTGTCCGGCATGGATGAGAGGACCAGCTCTGATGACTACTCCTGCCACACGGCTCGTCCAGGCAAACGGAGCAATGACACAGCCAAACGTGCCAAAAGGCGGAGCCACCACAGCCAAAGCCCCTCCCACTACGTCCTCCAGACGAATCAAAGAGATTCTCCTCCGAGAGATTCAGCCTCCATTTATCATGTAAGTCACCCACTTTGTCTTTTTAAAAATATATGTTATATTTACACCAGGAAGCAACGCCAAGGACTTCAGATTAAACAAACCTGATTTAACGTATTTATTCTTGTGCTTTAGAAGTGCTGGTAGGCAGATTTTGTGACCCTTGGGCAGAACCAGGCTAGCTGTTTCCTCCTGTTTCCAGTCTTTATGCTAAGCTAAGCTAACTAGGGCTGCAGTTAATTATTATTTTCATCGGGTGTGTGTTGGTACTCCGTACCTTTAAAGGGATACTTTGCCGATTTTCAACCAGGTCTGTGTCACCACAGTGTGCGCAGTGTAAGTAGATGAATGGTGATAAGATGTCCCCCATGCCAGCACCCTCGGGAACTCCCCACCCATGCTGTGAGCAAAAATCCACTTGATGACTTAAAACGTCAAGACATGCTTTGCATCACCTGGTGGATTTTGGCTGATGGATGGGCGGGGAGCTCCGGGAGCTAGCAGCACAGTGGGTGTCTTAACATCGTTCATCTGCACACGCTCCCTGCACTATGGTAACACAGACCTGGTTGAAAATTCCCTGTGGACCAAAACATGTGCCAAGTAATATTAGAGCGTCTTCAGTCAAACAATACCTGCATGTGATCCCTCGTGTGCTGGGGGTCTGATCCTGGAACATGCTGACTCTTAGTCAGATTGGCAAACCTTATTTTACTGCCATCTCCAGAGCTGCTCTCCTTGTGGCGAACTGTCCATTCAATGTCTGCCTGGTTAGCACAGGCTAACCAAGTAACAGTGGCTAACATCCAACACCAAGCTGTTAAACAATCTCAGCAAACTCACACTGAAACAAAAACGGCCCAACTCTGTCGTGAAACCCATGGATAACCGTTACGTAACGTTAGCTGTGTGATGCTAACATTTAGTCCTGTCACTTTTTGCCCTGATGGACTCTCATCAATCCTCCCCAGCACGGAGTTCAACTCCCCCCCTTAGCAGCAGCTACACACCCTACAGTCTGTGATGATGTAAAGTAAAGCATGACACATTAACAGAGTTGGAAGTTTAGCTTGCCAAAATGCCACCTTGAAAGTATGTTTGTTCTACACACCACTCCATTCACATAATAGGTACTGAATGAAGAACTCTATCTGTATCAGTATCCTTTTAGGGAAACTGGTACTGGTGCTGGTATCATCATTTTTTAAACGATACCAAGCCCTTATTGTTGTCAATTCATTTTCAGTCAATCAATTTGTCCAGTTACATATTTACTATGCAGATGTGAGTGCCATCAATCTTCTCTTTTAAATCTTGCCAAGCAAATAGGCATACTTCCCAATACGTCTGACTATTCCTTTAAAAGAATGTCATCAGCGCAGCAATGAGCTCCGAACATCAAAGACATGGCCAGATATTCACCAAGAAGCAGTACTATCAGCATCTGAAGGGTGAAAAATACAGCTTGTTCTCCATTAGGTTGCAGGTTAGTAGCTTGAAGATTGCATTATGTAGTTGCATGATGTGGATCAAACAAGGTTATGAAACTCCTCTGACTTCCCCCTCAGTTGCCTCCTCAAAGTGAAAACTAGTTAAATGAGGTAACACTCTGCTTCCTCTCTGATTTGTTTTCATGCAGCGAGAGACTTAAGGAAAAACATTTGAGCTTTTAGCCCTGATGAAAATGTGTTGTAGTGGAGTGTGATCTGAGTGAATGCTGACTCGTTATTACCCCGCGTCACTTCCATGACATCTGTCCGCCTCGCCTGTCCGTCTGAGCTCGGCACTCTCAGGTCCAGACAGTCAGTTTGGCTGGCGATGACCTTATATATCTTGACAGCATCTCTTTGGAAATTAAATGCATTACCATGTGTGTGTGTGTTTACGGTGTGCACGGGTGCTGCGATGGCAGATGGCGTGTCAGTGGGTGTGGGCGGGCCCATGTCATCTGTCTTGCTGAGCGTGGGGCTGTGAATGGACGAGCTCCAGGCTCTGACATGTGTAATATCGTGACATCAGAGCTGATCTGGTGCCTCATCTGACCTGTCGAGAGAGGTCACATCTCAGATCTGCTGGCCAAAGTTTATTTACATACATCAGAGGTTTGCAGAGGAGCTGAAGGGACGGGTGCATGAAAACTCCTTGGGGTCAGAACTCAGTAAAATCTGAACACATATGAAAGACATGAATCACATTTTTATATTCGTACATTTTTTTTATTTTATCATTTTATATTTTAAATTGTGAGATTAAATGAAATATCTGTTTTAATTTACTCCTTTTACTATTCACCTTTGTGTTTATTCTCTATTTTATACTTTATTTTTTAATGTTTCCTTTAAATTCATTTCTATTTATATTAATTTTGAAATTGATTAATTTTTGCATTCATTTTTTTCAGTTATTTATTTTTATTTATTTTTAAATGTATTTATCAATTTTCAATGTTATTTATATATTTATGTATAATTTACCCTTTGCACCCCCCCTATTTATTTCCCTAAATTTATTTATTTATGTATTGTTATTTATTGTTGCCATTTATTTTCAAGACTATTTTTTATACATTAAATGGCAAAATAATATTTAAAGTATATGTAATTGTAAAACATTTGGCAAAAACAAATAAAGTAAAAAGAAAGAAATCTTTAAAAATAAATAATAATGCATAAACAAATAATTTAGGGAGATAAATAGGTGAAAATGCAAAGGGAAAAAATGAATATATAAATTAAAGATTTAAGGAATGCAATTTAAAATGAATTTAAAATAATTAAAAAGTAAATGCAAAAATGAATAAATAAATTGAAAATTAATAAAAAAATAACAAATAAAAGAACAAATTAAATAAGAAAGTAAATAAATAGGAGAATTTGTACAAAATGAAATAATAAAGAAGCAAATTAAAAATGAAATTTAAAATAATACGACATTTTATCAGTTACTGCATACCTACATTTATTTCTATTGTTATTTTTGCTACATTTAATGGCATATTTATTTATTGAGCAAATTTTTTTTATTTTTTTTTTTTTTAATGTTGGCAGCTTGTGTCCTCCATATAAATGGTGCAAAGTAACCAAAATGTAAACAAATACAGGCTAAAAATGGGGCTCAAGCTGTAGCCCATAGCTACAGTGCCTACAGACCTTGAAAACTCTTTTGGATGTTTGCCCTTCACATTTTGCTTACCAAAATTTTCTGTTAAATCCCCTGAGGCCCCTGAGCTCTATTTCTCTTATTTCCTCCATCACCTGAGTGCCCTCTTGTGCCACCCCTCCCTTCCCGTCCCTTTGTTCTATGTTTAGAGGTGTGAGAGTTGCTAAAGTCCTCCATGAGGTTGACTCTTCCACCCTGCCATGAGGGCATGTCGGTGTGAGAAAGAGATAATGAGGGAAAGAGAGCGTCCCTTTGTGTTCAAGTGTCTCCTGCCTCCTCTCCTCCTCTTTCGCTAAGATCTGTCATCTTTTATATCCCAGGATTCTTTGCAGTAAACAAAGGCCACTGATTCATCCTGACAGCCTGCTCTCTCTCTCTCCCCATCTCACCCTCCCTCTTCTTGTCTTCCTTCCAACCCGCTCTCAGACATACCAACAGTCCTCCTCTCTGCAGTCAAAGAACAGGAAGAAGAATAAAGGTAAGCAGTGGAGCCACCTGTTCGGTTTCCTCTTTTTTGTGTGTGAGCTGTCGTCACAGTGCAACACTTCACTCTTTCAGGGACGACAAGCTAATGGACGTTGTATAAAAATGTGAGAGCAGCTGCTGCTTCAGTTGAACCAATTATCCTAGTAACACTTTATTTTATGGGTCTGTAATTTGCTAATACATTTCCTTGAACGTTTCACAGAAAACAAAAATATGTATTTTGGTTGTAATTACAGATTAGACTACTGAGGTTTTATTGGTTTTATTTCATATTTTTTATGAGCAGAACCAAAATGATTTCCATTAAATAAGAGGCTCCATATTAGCTCAAATAAATACCATTCATTAGTCTTTTATCATATTATTGGAAATGTTGTCCATTGTGTGCTTGGCTGTAGAAAATTTCCCATCCAGACATGATTTGAAGACATTAAAATATTCCGCCTTGCATAATAATTTGAGTCTGATACAGTCAGTCCAGAGTCTATTAATATGCAAATATTGCTCCTTTCACCATGATCGAATGCAAGAATTCTCCTACTTCAATGAAAATTCAAATGTAACCACTTTGATAGTTTTTCATGAGCAGCTGACCTGCTGTGCCTTGACTAAAAGACTCCTGTGGTTGTAACTATTTGGAAATTACAATTTAGAAAAGCGCCATTGATCACAGTGTTTTTCCTCATATTTAGTAGAATCTACAGTTACATAACATTGCCTTTCTAGGAAACTTAAGAAGTGGGCCTGCACATTTTTCTAGACAATGAGTAATGGTATTTTTTTTGTCAGTGCCGGTTTGTCTTTCGCTAATGTTTTATTTTAGTGGCTATTGTGATTGTTTCATTACACATATTCTACCGACCCTTTATTCATAGTATCAGTCTATACCATGGCACATAGGGCTGGCAATAGAGTTAATATTTGCAAGTGTGTATTACTTACACTTGTCATAATATTATTGTCAGGGTTGAGTTTCCTACTAATTATTATTATCTATTAAAAGGGGCTCAGGTCTTGAAGAGCTGAAACTCTTTGTTTGCTCAAATTCCCATGCGATGGTACATTGTGGACACATGAAATTTTCACCAATAATTGGAAGTTGTGAGCAAATGCTGCCCAAGAAATATGACTTCACTGTAGAAAATTACCTGTTGTCCTTTAAGAACTCCTTTTCCAAGCAGCTGTAGCTTGACTATGTGACACTTTTCGGTGCAGTTGCAATAGTCTGTTCCAACCTCCAAAGTGGCGAGCCACATGTCTGCTGCTCAATCTAGTCCTGTTTCTCTGTTTAAGAAGACTGGTGTATATACATAAGCCACACACACACTCATATGTCCTGATATTTCCAACTCATCTTAGGTGGGCTTCCATGTGTAACCCAGACATTCTAAAGACTGCTGTTCCTTCCTGGTTTTGGTAAATGAATACCATTGTTGAGCTTAGTCCTTGGATTGCCAGCGTATTCCTTCTGACCAAAGACGAATCAGGTGTTGCATGTTTCTAGCAGCTACTACACACCCTGAACTTTACATCCACCTTGCCTGATGAGGGCGCTATAATTAAAGGTCAACTTTGAGAAGTTATTAATCCCACACTGTGAGTCAACTTGACACAAAACTTGGTACAGACCTCAAGAACCATTAAGGTCCGCCTGACAAGATTTTTCTGCCATTTGAATTTTTTGAAAAACCATTTGAATTTTTTGACATCTACTTCTAAACCATAGGTCCAATTTGTACCAAATTTTCTATGGATCATGATTATAAAAAGGCTTAGCAAAAGATATCAAAAGTTTGTCTATATGTCATTGCGTTTTGAAGTTTCTGACCAATGAACTTCAGAGGGGGCATGACTCAGGTCATAAATAGACCTAACTCCACAACCGCTGGGCCAATCATAATGAAACTTGCACGATATGCTCACATCAGTACCTCCTTATTTTTTATTTTACGTAACCTATATTTAACCAGGTAAGTCCCGTTGGGATCAACATTCTCTTTTTCAAGGGAGACCTGGCCAAGACAGCAGCATAAGAAAGAAACATACACCTGAAGCATACCCTGAAATTTTCATTTAAAATCACCATAAGGTGGCGCTACACATTAAAAAAAACGTGTTTGGCAAAACACAAATTAAGATAAAAATCATTGCAAAAGTATATGTTCCTTAACAATGTTGGAGTATACATGAGTATATATTTTGAAATCACTCAATGGGGGCACCACCAGTGCTGAACAAGTGCATTGTCCTGGTGCAAAAAGTGTCATTACACTTCATCCAAGCATCACCAAACTCTGAAGATATAATTTATTAAGTTGTTGAAACATGTCCCCAAAATGTTTTAGCAATTGACCCAAAGAGGGTGATGTCAAGAGGGGTGTGGTCCGACACAGATTTGGTCGCAATTGAATGTGCGTCTGTCCAATCTTCATAAAACTTTTCAGTCATCTTTAGTTTAGTTGTGGGAACGACCTCAATCCTTCGCAGCTTTCAACCTTTAATGATCCGTGTTGACTTGAACCAGGAATCACTACTTGTAGCTATATTTTGTTTTGTTTTTGATTAATTGATTAGTCGTTTTAATCTATAAAATGGCCCACAGACATGATAAATAGCCATGACAGTTTCCAAACGCTCAAGGTGACCAACCAGCTGTTACGTTTTGATTAATTTATTAGTCATTTTAATCTATCAAATGGTCCACAGAAGTGATAAATGGCCATAACAATTTCAAAGCTCAAGGTGACCAACCAACCGTCAGAAACCTAAAACACAAACCTACACAGAGGAAAGTAGGTAATTTTCACATGTAAAGCTGGAACCTGCTTTTTTCTTAATGTTTGCTTGATAAATGTTGTAAATGTTTAATTGGCTATTAAAAATGTTGATTAATTAATTAACCTTTAAACTGACTAATCCTTTCGGCACTTGTCAGCATTGCAGATATATTAGAGGTGATAGAGCAGGCTATTTGGGGTCATTTATTAGTGTTTACGCACAAGTGAAAAGATGCTGTTTGCTTGAATGATCAATCACAACTTGTTATGTAATTAATTTGGTGAGATATAGATTAAAAAGTTCACTGACTGCAGCGATCTATATCACATAAGTTGGGAATTGATCCTGCTGGAGTTCAGCTCTCTACAATAGAATCATTTCATCGTCAGGACAACACATTTTGGCGCAGAGATCTCTGTATTTGCATTTTAACACATCATATTCATCTTACAGATTTTTACGAGTCCTGACTGGACTGCAGGCGAGACAGCTTTCCATCTGTTTGCTTCATAGTGTACACTCTGTCCAGATGAAAATCCAGTGATTCACCGTCTCGCTATGTCACTGTTAAGCTGAAGCTACTTGTTATTTAGTGTAATATGTAGTATTAGATTTTAACTACACGATTATTGTGGCCAAAAGAATTCATGCTAATCATATTATCATGATATCTATAGAAAATGTGTATATATACAATTCTTTCATGACCTTTTTTGTTTTCTTTCTTCTGACACGTGAGCTCATGCATCAGACGATGGTATCTTCAGTGTTTATCAAAAATGATAAATCCCTTAAATCCTTCTGCTTCCTCTTGAAGATTATTTTCCGCCCTATTTGTCCACTCTCCAACTCCCTGCTATCAGTTTCTTTGCCTCTTTGACCAAAGCTTTTTTTTTCTCCTTTCACCACACTAACGAGGATCAACACGTTGGAAGTGATTTTCTTTCACTTGCTTCACCATCTGCCATCGTGAGAAGCTCCGAAAGCTTTAGCTCCAGCTGCACTTTTTCGGGCGACAGCTTTGTTTGTTTACAGCAATTAAACCGAAGTTTAAATAGGATTTGATAATAATGATTTATTGATTGTTCTAAATGCTACGAGTAGCACTCTTATCACATGAGTAATGAAATATTAGTTACTCCTTTTAGTCCATGGCTGAGGCAATCTTTTTTTTTTTAAACAGAACAAGTCTCTGCTGGATCCAGAAATTAAATTGGTGATGGTATCAGGCTGGCAGTGCTGAACTGCTGCACAGAAATTGGAAATAAATGGCGTTTTTGTACATTTCTTGGATGTATAGTTTCCTCTATATCACAGTATATAACTTATTAATTATCCTCAGATTCTCTCCAGACTTCAGATCTTTTCATGCTGCACATTTGAGCTTTAGTTTCCTTGTGTAGAAAGTTGTTTCCTTTAGAGATATACTGTACGCTGCACTTTCCATTGCTGCAGAAATGAATGGAATATTGAATAGCGTTCCCTTTAAGACGTTTGATACAGCACAATAAAAGTTTCTCGGTGGCCCTCGACTGGGAGCCAAGTTTCCTCGGTAATCTCTAATGAGGAGCCTGTTGTGAAAAATGTTATAGGTCTTTCGTGCCAGAAGGAAAAAGGCAATTTTTATTAAACACCTCTTACCTTACTGCACTGCAGCAGCGTTTTGTCAAATCCAAAAACTGAACTGTTGCCAAGAATTACTGCGACGTTGGGATGAGGCAATTTTATTCACACTTCTGTGACAGAGCGAGCACTTACAAGCACCTTTTTGACTAACAATGTTTCATGCTTATTCTCAGTTTTCTCATTTACATCCCCTCTGTCTGTCTTCATGTGTGTCTTCTCTGTGTTGTTCCAGGACGGAGTTTGGCCTCCCTGAGTCGGAGGCGTGTTTCCTGCAAGGCGCTGGGCAGAGGAGACTGCGAGGGCTGGCTGTGGAGAAAGAGAGATGCAAAGGGTTACTTTTCTCAGAAATGGAAGAAGTACTGGTTTGTTTTGAAGGATAACTGCTTGTACTGGTACATCAATGAGGAGGTAAGTCAGATTTCATACTTGTCCTCTCCTTTTCCAACCTCTTTTTATTGATGCTACAATTCAAGTGTCAGTTTTCCAAAAAGTTTAACATATTTCATTTTGTTGAAGAAGCTTCTGAAACAAAGAGGAAGTGATGAAATTTGTCATAATCTGTGCCTGCTGTCAGTTAATAGCAGCAATGCAAGTTTTTGAAACATTTATACAAAGGGAGAGAACATGGTGCAGAGGTTACCCTGAAGCTTTATGCCAGGATATCACAACTACAGGATCAGTTTGCCCCAGAGAAGCACTTTGGCAAGCAAAAGAGATTTCAGACTAATTTCAGATTAAATTTGTATAAAGGCTAAGTTTGCTGAAGTCTTAAAAATGTTTCAAAGTCAAACTTGGTAGTTTTTAGCCATATAGCAGCAAGGGTTCATTGTCTAGGGATCATTTTAGTCGAAACTAAAATATAGTGCCCCAGGAATGAGTCCTAAAATCCGGAAATGAGTTTGTATTTTAGCACCCCCGGTTCCCTCGTCTTGAAGTCAACTTTTTTTAATGGGTTTATGGTTAGATGCCTGAAATAAAGTCTGTGATTAACACTAGCTTGAGAGACTTTCACGTTCTTTTCTACGACTAAAAATACGTCGGTAAATAAGCCACTCGTGAATTCTGAAGCTTTTATGTGCTTTAAAAAAGGCAGTTGTGAACAAGTGGCTTAATGAGACAAGTGGCTTAATGAGACTACAGAATGTCATCATGGGGAACACACCTTAACAGTCTCACATCATAAAGATCTCGATCTGACTAGCAGATGCATTTTTTTTGTTCTTTTTAATTGGTGTGAGGGCTAGTAGACGAAACAGGGATAGTGACAAACAATACATATATAGGAGTAGACAGAAATGTGAGAACATACAAAATAAGACAAAACAAACAAACAATAATGTTTTTTAGAAAAGAAAGTAAAAACAAATAATACAACACAGGCCCGGAGTGGCTAATCGGGACGACCGGGACAATGAGTGAGCCGGTCTGATGTTTGGGTATCACGTATGCTGCTACCGCGGTCCCTGGGCCGCCCCCACTGGCAGCTCTTTTTTTTTGTAGATGCACACTGACGTGTGTGTGCATGGGGGGCGCTCAGATGTAGCGTCTTTTTCACGTACAAACCCATTACTTTCAATGTAGATGCACATCATATGCGCCCAGAACCCAAAGCGATGCCGTAGCGACGCGCATTCGGTGCAACGCACTTGTTTATTCGTCACAGCTCCACGGACTTGCTTCTCCCTCCGGTGTTGTGTCAGATCCCGGTTCCCCCTCGGGCTGTGTCTCTCCTACTCTTTCCCATGGAGTTCTGTCCCATTTGAAAGGCGAAGGAAGCCCGTATGTGGAAAGACAGCGCCTCTGAGATGTAGAATGTGTATTATAGAAGAGAAACATACATTTCAGGACAGACATGACTTGTTTGTAACTATACCTTAACATGCACTTGATGGCTGCATATCCTGCATCTCTTTGGAGCGTCGCACGTCCTCAGACATTGATGCTACACGTCTGCAAGATGCAAGATTTAGGGGCCTTACATACCATCTATCCACAATGGTGTGGATAGAAGTAACAACATAGTAACCTCCTGAAGTGTCGCCATGTTTGTTGTTTACGTCATGCAAACCCTGAAGTTCTATATGGTCTGAGATTTCTGGTGCCTCCAGTAACACTTAAAATATATGGGCAAATACACATGTAAACAGTTTTGTTCATGACGCAGCCGGTTGTCTACACGAACGCGTGGTTAAAAAGTAATTATATCTCTGGCCTTGTACCTCCTCTAGCAAGAACACAAAATAAGTGCTATCTATGGTGTCTCCACCCTCACACATGTAAACAAATGGACATGCAGGCTCACACCCAGACGTAGAGCCCTCTGCTGTTTACCATAATGGCCGTTCCAGATGGCTACTTCTTGGTCAGACTCCGGAACAAGTCTTGAAATGTCAAAATGATGTTTATTTGGACAGTGGTAGGAGACAAATGCACATTGTTCTGAGTGAGTCCTCTGTTTCCTGAATCTCTACAATGAGTGCAAAATTAGCACGACTCACAGAGTCACAACAGCCACATTTATGGGGAGATACGGCAGATTGAAATGAACCAGAATTTTCCTGTAACATTTTTCCTTTAGCCTTCTCTATTCCTATCAGCTTATTATTTATCTTTCTTTTTATATGTTTGATCTCTCCTGCGGCTCAGGATGAGAAGGCAGAGGGTTTTGTCAGTCTTCCAGAGTTTAAGATCGACCGGGCCAGTGAATGTCGCAAGAAGTAGTAAGTGCACTATGAAAACACTCTGTTGCATATTCATGTGTTTATACTCCACATGCAGTTCACATGCTCTTATGTATAAATGTTTGCCTGCAAAAATAACTCCCTCTGTTTCCCCCCATGGCTCTCTAGTGCTTTCAAAGCGTGTCACCCCAAGGTCAAGAGTTTCTACTTCGCAGCAGATGGAGTGGATGACATGAACAGGTAAAGCAGCATGTGCTAAACACGGATGAAGGTTATGCAGAAGGGCAAACTCCCTGCAGGGTGGCAAGAGTGCAGCTTCCTGTTTACTATCCCCAAAGCGCAAGACAAATATGTTTTTCATTTGATGTCAGTAGAAAGGCCTGTTTTTATTCGGGCAGTGGTGGGTATGAAAAACATCATTTGCAAGATATATTTCCATAGAGGCTTCAGTTTTGACCTGTGCAGAGGCTCTCCAGACTCTGCTGTCATTTACATAATGATCTCTTCACTTCAGACAAGATTTTAATAAAACGTCCTAAATAGATATTTTCACTTGTTTCCAATCAGTTTCAAAGTGAAAATAATTCAGGATTTTACAAAAGAATCCTGCAAAAAGTTAATTTATAGGGTGTATAAACAAAACAGGTGAGCACTAGCCCACTGGGGGATTTTTTACTTTTTGAGAGAGAAATGATCTCTAAGACCTTCCTAAATAACTTATTAAGGAACATTTGGGGAAATCTTTCTTGCTGAGGGTTGGATAAGAAGATGCAGCCAGTTAGCTTACCTTAGCTTAGCATAAAGACTGGAAGCAGGGGAAAACAGCTAGCCTGGCTGTAAAACCACATTTTTTATTTTATACTTTGGAACCAAATAAGTCGTGTTATAATTTTTTCCGTTTGTGGAAGGTGAATGACAAGAACCAGGTTACTTTAAAAAACTGTCTTTTCATCACTAGCGGTGGTGGTAGCCACAGGTGGTTTAGCTAATGCTAACATTACATCAACAGGGTCTTCATTGTTGCTATGACAACACCAAGCAGCAACAAAGTGCAGCTCGCCACCAGGAGATGTGTTTATTATTATTCTTTGTAACACAGGTCAACATGTCAAAGGAGTCACAGGATTCTGTTTACAGATTTGTTGCAGGTATTCTCTGGCTGAAATTTGGCGCTAACAGCACCGACATTAAGTTTGACTGCACATTGGTGCAAAACAAAACAGCCGACGCTCGGACCACAGGACGCACTTTACCGCTGCTTGGTGTGTTTTTCGGCATAACGATAGCCTGCTGCTCCCAGGCTGCATTTAGTGACGTAGGATATGACTTAAGAAGCTCTGTTTTGTCATCCTCTAATGTGTTTGTTTTCTCTTTGTGTTGCTCTTTTGAGCCAGGCCAACATTACTGTCATGTAACATTACTAGACTAGCTGCAGGCAGGTGAGAACGGGAACAGGTGAGCGTCATGCAGTGCCCCCAATGCCCACTGGGTAATTTGATTTAAATTTCTTTATTATCAGAAAAAAATCTGAAATTTGTCCTGAATCCCAGGACTTCAACTTTTTCACATAAATATACCTAAATACAAAAAAAGAAAACAACATTTAACAGAGCAACAAAACCGTAATACAAACTCTACATATCACATGACACATTATCAAAAGGGAATGCAATGCAACAAATTTATTATTCATATAACATACAGTGTCTGACCAGGTACACTGACGCTACTTCTGATTTATTAGATTGACAGACTGAGGAGCAAAAGAGTTCCTCAGAATGTTCAAAGCCTGTGGGACTCTATATGTTCTGTGATGGCAGAAGCTGACCTTCTTTAGATAAAGTGTGAAAGGGATTGGTTGTGTTTGGTTTTATTTCCATTCAGAGACAACATTTCTTTTAATGTATGCAGCTTGAAAACTTGACTGAAGCATTTGACCCAGTCTTGGATGAGATATGTAGCAGTTTGTATAGTTGAGCCTCAAGCTGAAGAGAGACAACTGTACCATGAACTGACTCTGTGCTGCAGTCTGTATTATAGATTGGAAAAACAAAATCAGGATCTGTTTGTTTACTCCAAATGACATCAGTCTCATAAAACAGTATATGTGTTATACCGTCCTAGAGATATAATCTATATGTGCACTCCAGGATAAAGAAGTGTCCACATAGATGGCCAAATGTTTATAGATGGAGACTCGTTCAATCAGGGTGTTATGGACAGTAACTGTCGGAGGATTCGATTTCGCTGGAAGACCAAAAATAGTGCAGGTCATGTCGGGCCATCAGGAATCGCCGGAAGAACCTGATACGGACAGGGCAGATATGGCATCTTGTGAAAAGTGCCAGTGTGCAAGGGAAAGTAACAGTACACCATACAGGAAAATGTAGAATGGCCCATTTTGTACCTCTGCATATATGAAAAAAGTTGCATGAAGCCCTTTGTGGCTCCAGAGGGTGCTGCATGAAGTCTGATAAATTGCCTCAAGTGATGTCAGTGTCGGTTAGAGCTCAAGACTTAGGTTTGAAAATAAGAATATCTGGGGGTGGGGAGTTAGAAAGAAGTGAGGTTACCAGACCTCTGCAGCTCCTCATCTTTGCTTGAGGCTAGCGGCTAGAGGCTACTAACATAACACACACAAATCTTTGACCCAGCTCATGGCGGTGTCATTGCACTGTGGGTAATGTAGGCACCAGGTTTAGACAAGGAAGAAGAATGCCTGGAATAAAAAATACAACATCTGGTTCTGCTGAATCAAGTTTTATACTTTTGTATGCCTTCTTAGCGGCAAAAGCTATGGCTGGAGGCATTATCCATCCGTCCAGTTCTTGTGAATGTGATATCTCAAGAATGCTTTGAGGGAATTTCACTGAATTTGGCACAAATGTCCACTTGGACTCAGTGATGAACTGATTTGATTTTGGTCATCAGATGTCAGTGTAACCTCACAAAACATGCTATGACTATAACTCAAGGATTTATATATAATCATGACAACATTTCACACAATATTTCTGCAAAACACTTTACTGGCCATTACTCAGTCATGACTCAGTCATGACTTCATGACAACAGAAGGGGAGACATTTGGTCAGATACTGAATTGGTGACACTAACCTTGGGTTTCCACCTTGAAATTGGGCTGATTGAATAGATCTTTTGTGCTGCTGAGGGAAAATGTGTGTTAAGCATCCATGTTGTCACAGGCATGGATGTAAAGTCTAAGTGCAACTTGACTGGTGCACGGAGGCATACAACAGCAAGGTGGTTACTTTGGTTAAAAAACATTTATTAGCATTTTGAAATGGAGTACTCTTTGATCTAAAATATTTCACTGTGAATGCATTTGGTTGTTCACAGTGGTGATGTGCATTTCTTGTGGGTTGTCCTAAAGTGATAGTTCACCCGCCCTCCTAATATAATGGAGCTAGATGGCACTCACCTTGTTGTGCTCAAAACACCTAAAAAATACATTTGAAAAACTCAACAGCAATGTCTATTTACAGTAAACATGACCAGTGACTCAAGATAATCCACAGACCTTTGTTGTGAGGAATTTCATGTAGGAACTATTTTTTGCTATTGAACTACACCCACCAAACAAATCACTGCGGAGAAGGAGGCGTCCATCTACTCATGGACGAGAGGCTCGTGCTTGTTCCAGCACAAAATGTAAACATGAATGCCATCTTCCTCAGCTGAGGAAGAAGAATTCAAAAGAAGGCAGACATCTCCACACTTGACACCTCACACCAAAACAGTCTAGACTGAAACATAACACTAAAGTTTGGAGGAAAATATGTGTTTTTGATTTTGGGGTGAACTGTCACTTTAATATGTTTCTCTATTAATACATTCAGTTGTGCTCATTGTTGATGGGCACTTTCTGAGGGTGCTAAGAAGCCTTTTGTGGATCAATTGTCTCACTATGTATTCCTCCTCCTTCTAACCCTTCTTTTATTATCAGTTATGTGATAAATCCATAAATCTGAACCTGAACCCTTCTGTTAGATGGCTGAGTCGTCTCAACCAGGCCGCCGTGGGCTACGCCGAGCGAGAGAGGATACGCCAGGAGCAGGGTGAGGGTTCATTACGGTGTCTTAAAGACATATAGTGTGCATATGGTACAGTATTTGTAGAACATTTTATAATATTTTTTATAATATTCCTACATAGATTTGGATGGAAGTATATTGATGCTGTTTCTGACTGTGTGTGTGTGGGTTTCCTGCAGATTACTGGAGTGAGAGTGAACATGAGGATGACACCACCTCCAGCCCCAAACAGGACAGTCCCCCACCTCCATACGATACCTACCCACGGCCTCCATCAGTGAGTCACGCACACACACTCATATAAAGTTCATGGTGTACTTGAAGGCGAAACTTAAGCTCGGTGCTCCTGTGCAATCCATTGTAACAGTTAAAGTTATTGCCAATTTAGCCTACAGGGAGTGATGGGGCTAAATTTGGTATAATTGATGCTATAATTGCTTTGCTCTACTTTAGATGACTTGTATTTTTCAGCGTAGGATTAAATGAAAAGCTAAAACAACAACACTTTATTACAACAGCTCTTTAGTTTAAATAATCAGAGTCACCAGACAAGGCAAGATAATGATATTTAAAAATCTTTGTAATAAGAAGTCTTTAGTGTTTGCCTTTTTTCTACAGACACACATTTCCACTCATGTCCAAACACTCATTACTTCTCCTTTGTCTCTGTCTCTCCCTCACACACTTGTTCAGTCATTACCCCGCCTCCTTGCCAGATGAAATCCTTTTTTCAAGTATCTCATTACAGTTGAATGAGACCCGGTGATCAATTGACATCTGCCACATCTTCACTTTTTCCTCTCTGCCTGTCAGATGAGTGCCTACTTGGAAGGCCGGACCACTCGACTGTCTTCCACAGAGACGTCTCGATCACGCTCCTCTCAGGAGGACTTCCTCTGTGGCGAACCCCCAGCGGTGGCTGCAGAGCCGCAGTACCATCCCGGTCCTCTAGGTGGAGGCAACACACACAGTGGGAGGAAACCAGGAGGCAGCAGCAGCAGCGACGTGCAGTACAGATGTGATCCTGTAGAGGTGTGTGTCAGTCCATCCCAATGCTAGGTATTTCAACAACTAAAGGCCAGCTGGTTGCACAAAACACCTTAAATTGACATTTGCCCTAAAGTCCGAGTTAAGGTTTCCCTCAATAAAATCAGTTGCACAAAAGACCCTTAAGCCTTCTCCTTAATGTTTTAATATGTTCACTTAAGCATTTAAGGTTTTCTCCAAGCAGCAACCTGCTAGAGAGCCAACACAGAAGTGCTAAAAAAAATTGCAGTTCCTCATATGGCCACTTGAGGCTGGCTCCAAAAGCGAATCAGTCCCCATAGACACACATGTTACAATGCTAAACTTTACAGCTGAAATAAACATCACTACAGTCTGGTACAAAAAAAAAAACAGTTTCGGTCTCTACAGCTTTTTCCCTGTTTATGACGACTGTACGAGGGATGAATTTTGATATAACTCACCTGTTTACATTTTATTAAAGCTTGATATTATGTGTAATCAAGGCTGTGGCTGCTTTGGGTGACAGGTGGGTGCTGTCCGTTGACAAGTCGCTACCATGGCAACACGTTGGTTAGGTGACGTAACTACGACCTTACCTTACATGGAATTACAACTTTGGGGTCCATCACATGATGCACTGGGGCCCAAAAATACTTTTTCCATAGACTTACATTGTGAAAGTCATGTCTGTAAATCAGTGGATACGTTTTTGAGCATCACAAACCCGGCAAAATAACCTGTTTCCCTATCTGGAGTCTAGAGGAGCTGCATAGTTGAATCATTTTACTCCCATTCAAGTTAGTAGAGGGCTAAACTGGAAGTTAGGCGCTCGGCAAGCAGAAGTCTCTGGTTCACCAGGCATTGCAGGAGAGCTGGGTAATTTCATACTGTGGAAATTGGGCTTTTTTGGCTTCATGAGCTGCTGAGCAATTTTCATAGGAATTAATGGGAGCACCCCCTTTAACGCTGCATTCAGTTCTCGCTATATCCATGCCCCAGATTCATAGAGTATAGGTGTAGCCTTAGCTGTCGCTATTTCAGTGTGTTTTCAGTTCATGAAAGTTAACTAACATTTTGGTCGCATAAAAAGTCTTCAGGGTTTGGTTGTACTAAAAGACCCTCCAAGGAGTCTGATGTTTATTTTTCTATTTAGTATATTTTGCTTTAATTAGCATAAACATTAACACTACCACAGTTAACAATAGCTGTCAATGTGTTACTAACCAAGCTAGTAGCTAGCGTTAGGGTTAGCTCCACATTCTTGTCCAAATATGGTCACCTCTGGCTCCAAAAATCCAAGATTGCAAAGGCCAAAATGCTCAAGGCTTCAATATGGGAATCCATAAACAAATGAGGGATATTACCCATTTTATAGACTATGTTTTTTTCCTTATCTTGGTCTTATACTTAAGGAATCTCTTGAAGTTAGTTTAACTGTTACACAAAAGACCTTAGTAACCAAAGTGGGGAAAAAACTTAAGGTACCTCTGACTCTTTCCATCTGACTATCTTAACCACAATGTGGTGATTATGGTGATTAATTCAAGATACTGAACACATCCAGAGAGGAGATGCACTTCACGATTGGCAACTGATTTTATACTATAGATTTGACTTCCCACATTTGATGTTTAATTTTTTACTTTCTACTTTTTTCAGGATGTGCTTTTTTATTGTATTCCTCCATAAATATAATCTTTTCCTCCTCTGACCAGTTTGGTTTTTACATCTGCCATATTTTTACTATCTAAAGGCCATCTTTGTGAGATGATAAAAGGTAACGCGAGTGCAAGCAAACAGTCTCCATGGAAACTGTAGAATTTTGTTGCTGTAAAAACTCTTTCAATGCAGTAAAGCCCTTAATATTTTTCCATTACTGAGGAAACCTTTAAAAGGATTCTGTGCAACACAAATAAAAAATAAAAAAATCCCTCAGCTAAGGAGATGTTAAGCCTTAAATGTCATACTTAAGGAGACAACTAAAGGTGTGTTGTGTAAGCCACTCTATCATCATTGCTGTGAATATTCATGGTCCACAGACAATTAATAGTAGAATTTTGTGCGCCCTCCAGCCACCTTACCCCCCAACCCTCTTTATTTTGCACTCTGTTAATTTTCAGGCTGAAATGTCAAACTTGCACACGTCATGTCACAATGTAATTGGCACACAATTAGCTGATTACATCCATCCTACCAGTAGGGACTCTGGATTTAATTACCTTAGAAATTATTATAATGGCTTTTGTTCCAGACAAAATGTACATTTCGAAGCCCCGCTGCTATCAAGGCTCTGAGGGTGAAGTCTCAGTATGCTCATTGCACATCCAGCACATTTGTAGTGTTGAGCATGATAAATCTTTCATTTATTCATGATTCTTTAAATTCACCAAATCCAGCAGTTTGGGAAATTAGTTTTTTGAAATTCATACAAATTATACAAAAATATGCAGTTTAAAGTTACCAGGCTCTTAACTTTAACTTGTTTTTTCACGGGAAGTGAAGTGGAGCAGCCATATCAGAATCAAATGAGCTGTTGTGAATAAAATATGAGTGCTCTTCCTCTGGATACTTTTTTTTTTTTTTTTAAAGATATTTTTTGGGGCATTTTTTAGCCTTTATTTGATAGGAAGGACAAGTGTGAGGGGGGGTGAGAGAGGGGGAGTGACATGCAGCGTGGGGCCACAGGCTGGGGTCGAGCCCGAGCCACTGCGGCAACAGCCGTGTACATGGGGCGCCTGCTCTACCACTAAGCCACCGACGCCCCCCTCTGGATTCTTTATTGGGATCTCCATTAGTTACTCTTCCTGGGTCTATATTCAAATAACATAAATACAGCCAACAATGTTTGCATTTAAACTACATACAGTGAACGATATGATATATGTTATTGGATAATGCGAGTTACCATGATCAACACGTGGATGATATTGCTCTTGCGAAAAATACTTAACGTTCTGTCTTTGTTCTTTTTTGTAGTACCGATCCAGTCCCGCAGGGGGCAGCAGTGAGACAGGGTCTCCAGGCCGCTCTTCCTCATCTCAGAGACGTTCGTGGCAGGACCTTATTGAGACACCGTTGACTGAAGCTGGACTGCACTACCTACAAACTGGGCCACTAGGTAACACACACACAACCAGTTAGTTTAACACTTTATAATTTTTATGACAATAGCCGCATAAAAATTGAGTTACTTCCATTCTCATGTATGTGATACCTCAAAAAGGCCTTATGAGATTTTATTCAGATTTGATACAAACATCCACTTTGAGTCAAGGATGAACTGTTCAACCTCACAAAAGATAACTGGCCATACCTCAAGAATTCATATGCTAATTATGACAACATTTCACACAAATGTCTAATAGCATTGAATGATGAAGTGATGACATTTTATATCCACAAGGTCAAAGGTTGTAGTTTTATTTTATTTACTTATTTTTATAAATCGCTTGAATACTATTATAGGGTCACAGAGCCCCAGTTTGGGCTTCTCATGAGTTCTTTTACATTCAGGTCACGGAATTAAAGCTAATTAATACCGTGTGATATTTAAAGGGGACCTACTATGCTCATTTTCTTTTTCATACTTGTATTTTGGGTTTCTTCTAGAATATGTTTGCATGCCTTAATGTTCAAAAACACTTTATTGTCCTCATATTGTCTTTGCTGGAACACCTTGGGCTCTAGTTTCGCAGACCGGGCGAGGTGGAGGCGCAGCGCACCTGCGCTTCGCCAACTGAGTTTGGCCAGGCGGATTTTGCAAGTTTGGCACACTGTGCGCCTGGCGCAGCTACTCCTCTTTCCCACCTCCGTCCCTCCTACCTGCGCAAGTCGGAAAGAGGGAGGAGAGAAGGCGTGGAGTGGGTTTTACACACATCACACCAATCAAATGAGCCCCTCTCCTCGCCCTTAAATGCGAATGCAAATGTGTGAATGAGAGTTTACTCAGTTCGCCATGGCAGAAGAGAGCAGCAGCGTCAGACGGCCAAACTTCTCCCAGGAGGAAACTGATGTTTTGGTCCGGGAGGTCCAAGCTCGCAGTGCCCGACTATATGGAACTGTGAGCAGACCTCCACGGGCTGATGATGCAAAGGTAGCCTGGGAGGAGGTCACCACAATTGTAAATCAATGTTGTTTCTCTCGTGTGCGTGCGCTCTCTCTTTCTCTCTCGCAGTCTCACTCTGTTTCTTTTCTTTTGACTTTTCTAAGATGACAGATGCTGAATATATACTCCCTATCTGATGCTGTGGCTGTTTGTGGTTGGCTGAGAGGGCTGTGAAGCTGCAGCTGTGTTAATCAAATCAGGTTGGGTTTCCATTACGCGTGCCAAAAGTGCCAAACGGTGCCAATCCCCTTTGATCTGACATCAGATGTGACGGGACAGTTGATATAGAGATACATTTATGTGCTGATTGCAGATAGTTGCATTGAATAGTGTTTTTTTGGGTATTTATTGCATTGTTAATGTGCCTGATATTCTGGAAACCTGCCTGTGAGGTTTTGGTGACGTGTACGCACTGTCTGCCGGTCAGCCAAACTTCCGCTACACCGGCTGCGCTCCGCCTGCGCTGACAGTAGACGTGGTTTCAGTTGGCGAGCTTTTAGCGTACCTTCGGCGAAGCCTTTTGGCACGAAACTGTCACTGCGCCAAGCTGGATCTGTCGACACCTCCCTCTGCTGCGCCGCCACACCCATCTCAGCGCACCTCGGTCTGCCAAACTACCAAACTGAGCGAGCCTCGGGTTGCGCTGCTTGAAACTAGCTCTGCGCGTGGTTTGCCACCCTGCGTCACCCTGCGCTGCGCCGGGAAACTAGAGCCCCTTCTGTCTTAGGATGCTCCATTTTAGCACCTGTCTCTTTAAGTCCCCCTCCCGCGAAAGCCCAGTCTGCTCTGACTGGTCAGTGTTTTCTGGTCTTCCACATCTTGGCATCTCTGCACTGCCATTGCAGCTGGGGGAATGACTGTAACTGTCAGAGTATAGTGGCACTTACTCCTGTGGAAAATCACCAATAAAAGCGTCCAATCCCAACAGGACATGTTCCAGCAGAATATGAAATTAAAGAGAAACTGACAACAACAGTAACCAAGATTACATGTTTCCCTGATGTTAGCATGTAGCTACATGTAGCAATGTCCTTGCAGTAGGGGAATGACTGTAACAGAATATAGCCGCACTTCCTACAGCGAAAAATCACCAATCAAAGCTTCTAAACCAAAATCACACAATCTAACATGTTCCAGCAGGAATATTATCTGAAATCAGGGAGAAATGAACAGCATTGCCAACTCAGAACAGAGGATTCCCTGATGTTAGCATGTAACTACATGCAGTTACATGCCAAACATTTGAAGTGCTGTGTCTGAAGCAGAAGACCTTATTAAGAAATCTGTCATAATGTGACATAAGCTTGTCTTGAAAGTAGGAAAAATGTTGTAAAACCGTATTCAGAACAGGGAGGTTTTTGCTCACATTAATTACTTTTACATACATTTACCTCATTACTGAAACTTTGGTCACATTTAATATGAACACATGACAGTAGTCGGGTTTCCATCCACCTATTTTTATTCGCATTTTCAACAATTGCGGAAAAAAAACTTGAATGGAAACGCCAGAAATTCGAAAAAAGGCCGAAATATCGCAAAAAAGTTTTTAGCGAATAAACTATGACGTAGGCTACCGAATCCTACTTCTACTTCACACACACACCTGTGTGAACTTAGAGAGAGGTAATTACTCCAGTGTCAGGTGAGTGTAGACTATTTCACAACTTACCTGAATAGACTGGAAGTGTTGAATACCACTGCATCAAGTGAGCTGCCTGGTGTACCAACACAGACATCACGGCATTATGTAAGCTACGCTGACAACGCTGATATGAGTGTGATGAGAGCTCTCACAATAGCCAAGAAGTTCCCAAGGAATCTTTCCATCTCGTTGTAGTCATGGATGTGCCGGTAATTGTTTATATCAGTTGTGGATATGAGACGCTCTCAATGACGTCTTCTCACGGCGCCATCTTCTTCTACGGGTGTTCTTTTGCATTTTATTTTTCATGAGAAGCGCCACCTTCTGCTCGACCTGTTGACTCCCAATACTCGCAAAACAATAATGAATGGAAACGTGCATAAATTTGCATTTTCTTTTGCGTTTTTGCATTTTCACAAAATTTGCTTAAAATTTGCGATACATTTAGATGGAAACCCAGCTATTGTGACTAAAGACAGAAAATAAGGAAAAGCATAATAAGTCACCTTTAACAACTCCTACCACTTATCTGAAGGTGTTTCCAGAATCCTTAAAGACTCTCTCTCCACTGCATGATAATAAATGTTTTTTAAGTAATATCTCCAGTTGCCGTGTTTCTAAGGGGGCTAAAGGTAACACAGTAAGCTACACATATTAATAAGACATGGAAATTTGACACGGACTGATGTATTGTGCAAACTTGTCGTACATTTGCAGTATGTGTGATTGATAGTCTTCCTCCAAATAGCACATCACTCCATAGAGAATTAACTGACACAGAAAAAGAGTTAAGTTTAAAAACACTGTGTTAGTACTTTTAATGCAGAAAATATTAGTTTTTTTCTTTCAAATTTAATTTGACTATAAACCCAACAAGATCTTATTTTCAAGGAGACCCTCAGGCACTTAATTATATAAAAATGATTAAATAAATAATAATAAAGATGATAAATCAAGCAATCCAAACCATTAAAAAAAATCATCAACAAGAATACACATAAGAGCTCACTCTCCCACAGCACACGCACGCACGCACACACACACACACACACACACATTACACATTACTGTCAAAAGTATAATTTGCACAAAATTAACAAGAAATAAAACAAACAGACTTTGCCAGATTGTCAGTAAACAAGTAGCTGGAGAGGTTTAGATTGGATATTATATATCTTTTATTATTTCTCCATGTTTACTTGTTGTTTTATTTTTAATTGTTTTGTTTGTGTCTATGTTTTATGTGTGAACTTTATGTTCTTTTACAAATGAGTGATACAATCAGTAGTTGATTATTTTAATTGAAGAAAACAAAGAAAATGTGAACTGTATTTTCTTGTCTTCACGTTACAGAGGATGCCGTCTTCGCTGAACCCGGTCCAGGCAGCGGGACTATGATGGCCGGTGCAGTTTACACTCTCCCTGCACAGAGGAATGTCCCGTTGCCCATGGCGATGCAGAGGCTGATTCCTATGGCAACCCAGGGAGGGAAACCCCGCAGCTTCACACTGCCACGAGACAGCAACCTACACACACTCCTCGCGGCCCCTGCGAAAGAAGAACAGCAAACACACAACGGTGAGTTTAGTCAGGGACATACATGTACTGTGAAACACGTGGACACAAACAAGAGGAGGCAGTGAACACATGTAGCTCTGTGCTGAGTGATTGTGTGGGTGGACGTCAAGTAAGAGCAGAACAGGAAAAATGTGTCTCACATTGAGTGACAGCCACAAGAGACTGAAAAAAAAAGATTTTTTTTTTTTTTTAAGGTGAAGACGTCAGCACATGTGCCAGAAATAAAAAACGCTCTGAGGCAGACACATTTCCATTTAAATCATCATCAGTATCGAGTAGAGTAACACACACTCCAGTATTACACTGATCTAATGAGGCTAATGAGACAATGGTGCACTGGTTGCCAAGGTGAACCCAGCAGCATGCTGAAAGAAAAGTGCCAAACCAGAATAGTAAACAATGAAATATAATAACCATGTGAATTCTCATTTAGCCAGTCAAGCAGAGGAAATAAAAAGTGGAGAGGACATCCCTGAGGCTGGAGGGGAAGAGAGCACGACTTTATCATCATTAATAATACAAGTCATTACACTGTAAAGCAGAGGTGTTGAGGTGTGTGCTGCTGTCCTCCAGTGGTTACTCGGAGATATAACTCAATCTAATCAGATTTTTGACAGGTCTTTAGCCTTTAGCTTCACATCATGTGAATGGAGGAGTGGAGGAGGGTTTAAATCATCATTAAGTGACTGACTTACTGTCTCTCTCTCTAAAGGCGGCAGTGAGGGTGCATCCCTGGGCGACCTGTTTCGTGCTTGTGAGCAGGGCGGGGTATGTCCACTGGGTCGCGGGTCGGACACCAAAGGTCAGTCAGAGTGCAGGCAGTCCTTTCTCCGACGGGCCGCCGACCCTCAGCTCAATGACCGCCTGCACCGCCTCCGCATACTGACCTCCACACTGAAGGTATGATCACGCACAAAGACACGTGTTGTAAATATATGGGCATAAATGTGCACACACAAACACACAGGAACACACATACATGGATATCATGCACACTACAAAAAGCTGGTACAAGGTAAGAAATAAAAAACATTTTCAGGCCTTTTTTGAGGTGATTTTATTGATTTTTTATTTCAAATTTTAAAAAGATTTTGAAAAGATTTGAAAGTTATAATCCTTAAGATTTCGGACCTGATTGATTTGGTGGCACCTGGTCCTGGTGGTATCAACAAGCGCGGTTTTAAAACTATTTTTGTTTTTAAACTACTAACAAACACTTGTTGAGCAGCGACTTTGCCAGAAATATAACATAAGAGCAACTGATGTGTGTGTTTCCAGTGCTGCCAAACAAACAAAGTCGGGCAAAAATAACTGCAACTGTGATCTGCTGTTGCCTATGAGGCTCTTAATCGAACAGCTCACTGTGGCTGCAATATTTAAAACATATCTGTGGTCAAAGAATGCTTAAAATGATCGTTATCTTGATTTGTAGAAGATTTATTGATGCATAAGTGCCGTCAATCTCTGTGACAAATACATTGGAATTTCTGGAGTGCTTCACACAAAAACAAAAAAGCAGGCCTTGTTTAGCCAGTTGAAAAAGTTTAATGGCTAGCTGGCAACCAGGCCTCAGCTTTTGGTTGCCGAAACTTAAAATCTGGTTGCCATTTGTGGTCACCTTAAATTTTGAGTGAGATACTACGGTTATGGTTCAGCTTAATGAAATAAAATGTGATGCCTCCACCTCATAATGATGTTGAGCTGCCCGCTCATGTTGCTCCAAGCTCCAGTTCTTGTCTAGTCCTGTGGTGCTGTAGGATGTGCTACCTTCAACTGGTGGCTTGATGTGTCACTTACTGAAGCGTGTGCTGTACAAACAGTATAATTTCCCTCCAGCTCAAAGATGCTGAGATACTTTGCCTCCCAGATTTTCACAAATTCAATTCAGTCAGGAACACTTTGGTCAAAGAAAACTTAATTTCCATTAGAAATTTGATATTTGGTGGTATGGCTCTGTTCTGGGACCTCTCTGCCCTTCCACATGCATACGAGGAAAGCCTGAGGCAGAGAGAGCAACCCTCCCTGCCCTTCCATGTGCCTACATGGAAAACCTAAGGCAGGGAGAGCAGCAGCAAAGACCCTCCAGGAATAGAACAGAGCAGCATCAGTGACAAACAGAAATGACATTGATACATCAGACACAACATGAAAAGGAGGAGCTAGGGTGGAGGCAGGTTGCAAAGCGACTTGCAGAGGAAGCAGCAACAGTAGGCAGGCCAGAGCAGTTTAAATAGGGCGCCCTGAATGAGATTCGCCAACTGGTTGCGTAGAAAGGAATCATGTAATCTATCAGCTGACTTCCTTCTATCAATCAGCTAGCCTGCCTCATCTAACGCTATGCACAGTTCTTTGTAATTTGTTCAGGTTCATCTGGTTCTTTTTCAATTCATTCAATTTGTTTGTGATTTTGATAGGCTGATTGAATTTTCCACCCCATGGTCAAACAACTTAGTTTGCTTCACCATTGTCTCTAAAACAGATACCTGTGTGCACACGGGTAAATGCACTAATGCACGTGCAGCATTGTCTGCCAGTTCTGACTGTAACAGCAATATTTAAATATTTATTTAAGGGTTCACATTTTTTTCATTTTTCTGTCCCTGTTCTTTATACGTTAAAAATTGGTGGCAACCAAATGCCAAGAATGGGTTGCCAAAATGTTTGCCAGTGGCAAGCTGGCACCTGTTACTGTGGAGCCATGGTTGAGTACCAACAGTAGGGAATGTTTGCTTTGCTTTAGCAGCAACACAATATGTGCTAATACGTCTGCAGGAGACTGAGCAGTAAACAGTGAAGCTGTTATCAATGAGAAAACATTACAAATGTAATGGATCACAGGCTGCATCATTTCCTGTCAGTCCCTTCTTCGTGTGAAGGCACCCTGACTCTAGCGCATTAACTAACAATGAAAACTACCACCTAGAGAGGTAATTACTGAGTGTAAAATGATTAAATGGTTAAACAGGAGTCAATTTCATGAAAATCTTAAGGATTTTAACTTTAAATACACCTCATATCAAACTCATATTTGATATCACACTCTTCTGTTGCAATTCTTACAGAAGAAAATGATGCAATTCTCTCTGTTCTTTGTTCATAAGCCGTTGTGTTAGCCCTTCTATTGTCAAGTTTTTTTAATGCTTTAGTTTGTATGAGGTTGGCATTCTCTGACACAACTCACAGACAGAAATCTCGCCATTTTCTCATCCAAATCCTCTTTTTTTTTCCTATCCAGTGTGAACTGAAAGAATTACCTTTGTCACAGTGTCTTTTTCTTTGGCCCACACTCACATATGATTGCACCTAACTACACTAAAAGTGAGTAGGGTGAAATGGATAAAACGGGACTCCTTTTATTTTGCAGAGGGATACTTTCATGTGCATTTTTAGCTGTAATACACCATGATTTCCTGACCCTGAAGTACACACACATAAACACACACACACACTGTCTCTGTCTTGTTAGTTTCAGTGCTGTCATCTGTCCCAGTCTGTCTCCTCGGTTTGGTTTGAGAGCTTTGTCAAGCAGCCATCTGTGGCTTTATGCTATATGAACAGTGGTTATGTTTCTGGGCTGGGTGCCTGTGAATGGCTCTTTTGCTGTGGCTGTTTTCTTTTTTTGTCTCTATAGAGTTTGTATCTTTGTTGCTTCCTCCATGTACGTGGGCGGGGATGGTTGGCGAGGGCGCAGGGATCTTTGTCGCTACAATAGCTTTTAGCGAGGGTCTCTGGCTTTGGCTGCACGTGTCTGCTGGTACAGGTTGGCTGGAGGAGCTTACATGTTTGTTCCCTGTCTGGCGTCTCTTAAAGGAATACACCAAGTCTTTGTGGGGGGAGTTTGGATGAAACATACTTGTGTCAAATATTAAAAGCAAAGTCATCCATGTGACCCTGGTAGACATTAAACTGGTGTTTACAATCTATCAGGTTGTGTTTGTGTCCTCAGGCAGCAGCGACTTATCTGCAGTGGTTGCTGTGGAAACAACAAAGACATACACACATATTTTCTTTGTATCTTTTATGTATTAAAATTGAACGGAAACAAGAAGCTACAGTCAAGATGACAAGTGGAGATGTGCACTCCAACTCTTTATAGATACAGCGATGCAGAGTGTCTCATGCAGCGAACAATAATAACGACAGAGGAGGCTCTTATATGCTGTGTTTAATATTGTCATTATGGCTGGATAACTGTGCTCTAGATGTAGCATCAACAGTCATCATCACCATCATAACTGTCACATCTCTTATATCAATCTAATACACAGTATCTCAGTTTTTTTTGAATTCTCAGTTCAGTGAGAGTGAGCTGCTTTTTAAAGTAAGAAAACACATCTATTATTAACAAAAGGCTTTTGATTTTTTTTTAATAAACGTAACATTGAAATATTAATGATTCAGTAATACAGCTAGGTTTACATTCAGATATTAATCCACTGAACGATGGTTTTTAATTTAATCACAATGTCCCGTAAACCTTTAATTTTCATGTAAATAAGGGAAGTTCTCCTCAGTGCAGTAGGAAATATTTCTTTTAAACATCATCCAATTTCAGAACATATTTTTGTAAGACATCCTTTTTAAAGTCCTTATGAATTATAATTTATTGATGTTCTACAGATGCGTTATAAGGCATTAATAAAGATTTCCCTGAACCCACAAACACTTAAAGGAAAACCTCACCCCCTAAATGACAATTTGTGTATCAGTTACTCTGTTACTTTTAATTCACAAAGAAAACTTTTTTTTATGCCTCCATGGGATCGAAGAATTGAAAAACGGAGAAAATTCTTCATGAATCATACGAGTCATTGGGGTCCACGTTTAACAACAGCAAAGATCTATCAAAACATTTGTTTACAAACTGTCAAGAAACTTGTGCAGTATAATCCAGGGGCCTGTATCACAAAGCAGGATTTTGTCTTAGCGAGGTAACTTCAGGGTTAACCCTGGGTTTTCGGTCTCACGAAGCCGGTTCAGTTCTTATCGGAGTAGATCACCATGGTAACTTACTCTGAACGGCTATCCTGCTCCGGAGCAGGGTAAGTTCAGGGTTGAATCCGATCCTATAAAAAGCACCACCCACTGGCCAATCAGCTGTTAGGAAAAAAATGACTCTGCTGACAGAAATGCAGCCCAGTCATGACGGGAAGTTTAATTCATTTGATTGATTTTGATTTGAAAGTTTATTTTGAACATTAAAAAAGAAAAGAAAACAACAACAACAGACAATGAAAAGATTGTTCAAAAAGGAGTGGAAAGAAGTCGAAATTTCATCCCGCCCCTTCATAAGAAAGAAACTGATCATTTGCGGACACTTAATATATTAGTGCCAACATTTTATTTTATTGGAGGAAATGATCCCTGTTAAAGATAATGGGCCTAATTGACAGCTTTGCTGCTGGAAGTGTGGAAAGTAGCCTATCATGTCTACACTTCATGGTGTTTGAGGGATTTTCCTTTTTGCGCAGCTGTTAATTTCTAACACAGCTCAATATCAGGATGATTGTATTCAGACTATCAATTTGGTGTTGATATGATTTAATTGTGGCGTCAGCTTTAAGCTTCATTGTAGCATATATAATGTTATGACAAAGAAGACCAATTTATCAGACGCAATGATGTTAGACGATAATTGTAATACACGCAATTCATCTGTGCAGCATTGATTTCATGGGATTCAAGGGTGTGATCAGTGTCAGATGTACAGGTACTGTAGCTACTTGAACCAGTGATGAGTAATTTAACCTACACATCATTTTATTTGCTACCTTGTTTTGTCTTGATTTTTCCCTCTCTCATCCTCTATTTCTTCTTTCCTGACCCGTTTTTTTTTTCTTGTCTATTATGTGATTCCATTGATGTTTTGACAGGGGAATTTCTTTGATAAGCTTTTAGTGGCTTCTAACCTCTCCAGCACTTTTCTTTTTGTAATCTTGTAAATTTTATACTGTCTGTTTTTAACATTATGTGAAAATAAACTAATCTAAACTAAAAAAACATTATTCATCCCGTTATGCGTTGCCACGCATGTTTCCTCCTCCTGCAGCTGCCACGGTGTTGGCCTTTTCTGTAATGTTGCTTTTCTCCTCCTCATATTTTAGTAGAATTAATCTCTGATCCTCATGAGAAATACCTTTTTTTTCCCCTCACATACGGCGCTCTGTGAGGACGCTCAGTGACGCTGCGCTTCTCTCATGATTGTGATTGGTCCGCTGCGTGCGCGTTCACAGCTCTTGATAAAGCAACCCTGGGTTACCGAGTTGATATCCAGCGTTGTGATACCGATTATCCTGACTGCCATTGTTAGGGTTAGTCAACCCAGGATAGGTCTGGGTAACCCAGGAAAGGTTGATCTCGCTTCGTGATACAGGCCCCAGGTCATTTATCAAGTCATATGCTCAGTACTTACTGCACTTTCGCTCAGACTTTAGCATTTAAAACTGAACTGAAAGTAAAACCTGTCCATTCTCTTTTCAAAGCCAGACTTCATTGACAAAAACACTAATTTTACCTTGCTTAGCACAGAAGCTGTTAGTCTGCTGCTGCCTCGATTAGTTTGTTTGTTTATGTTATTGTTTGACTTTGGTGAATCTGAACTAATCGTTTTGAACATGAAAGTCACACAATAACAAAAAGAAACAAACTTATCAAGGCAGGGGTAGACCAGCAGCTCCTGTGATCAGCAAGGTAAAATTACTGATTTTGTCAATGGAGTTTGGCTTTGAAGAGAACATAGATAAGTTTCACTGTCTGTTCAGTTCCCCATCGGAAAGGTCTCTCTGTTTGGGAAGTATGGAGCATAAGATTGGATAAATGAGACTTGGACTATACTGCACGAGTTGTGAGAAGGTTTGTAAACAGATGTTTTGATATAGTTTTGCTGTTGTTAAATGCAGACCCCTTGAACTTCAATTCATAAGGAATTTTCTCAGTTGTTGGATTCTTCGTTCACTGTGGAGGCATGTGAGAAAAACAGCTTTACTTCAGGAATACAGCGTAACGTGGCAGAGTAATTGATATACAAATGGTCATTTGTAATGGTTCATCTCTTAATAAGTAATATGTGAATATGAGAAATAAGCTCTAATAAAGCAGATCAAAGATGCAAATGTAAGAGATGACCTTATATAAGGTAGATAGAATACCAATAAAAAAACAAACTCTTGACTTTAAAGAAAATGAAAGTGCAAAATGTATGGAAGTGCATTTAAAAATACCAAAATGATGATAGTTAACAAAGCACAGTTTCAACATGTAACGACAATAAAGTTAAAAAAAAAAAACATTAAATAGTGATATAAAAAGGAAATATATGCAAAAAGAAACATTGTTAAGGTATGTCATTTTCTTCTTAACCCTTTGTAAAGGCTTCCTTACTTAAAATTTAGTATCAGAGTAGTAGAACAAATAATCTACCAAGAACAAATGGATGGTCTTGAAGTAACACATACTAAATCTCCCCAAAACGTAGTGTATCCCGTTAAGTGTGTGTCTTGCTTCACGTGTGTCTGCGTTTTAAAGCTTAGTGGTTTAAAAGTATACAACTAAAAAGAGTGACCCCCCCATCCCCCCACCCCCCCAACCCCTCCTGTGTTTCCCCTTAGGACAGGGAGGGGGAGCTAGCACTGATTGACAAGCTGTTGGCCAATCCCCAGCTGTCGTCGGCAGAGTTCCAGGAGTGGAAAAGAGCCTATCAGGAGCTGTTCTCTCAGGAGCCTGACTCGACCACCAAATCAGACCCCGGCCCGCCCCTCACCCCCTCGCTCTCTCACACACACTCCTACATCGAGACCCACGTCTGACGAGTGAAACACACACACACACACACACACACACACACACATGTTTGAGTTGCTCCTGAAGAGTCGAACAAAACAGCAGCGGATGTTTTGATGCATCAGGGTCGCGATCAGTGACGGACTTTGTCAAGAGAGGAGAGTAGGGACAGCTCCACATCCAGATACGCTTTCAGCAGCCGCGGTGTACAAGTTCAACATGACAGCTTTCTGAGGAGATGCCCGTGTGGCCCTCATGTCACATCAGTCTACGAGCTGATTGGTTATGCCACTCCAGCTGGCTCAGGGGCGGACGATTAACTGAATCTTAAGTATTACATGTTAGCTTTTGTGCTCTATAAATACTTTGGACGACTTTCATCAGTTTTTTCCCGCTGACATGGACAGAGGCCTCAGAGTAGTTCCTTCATTTACAGTATTTCATCCTGCTTGTTGTGCCATGTTTATACCGACTGCATAGCCACAGAGTGACATACATTGTATTCTATCAAGCCTTATACTTGATATCTATGATGATATTTTCTGTACAGTGAGTGTTACAGCAGAGAACAATTAAGCACAAGGCTTTTTTAAATCAAATAGTCTCAGTTTCTAGTTTTAGAGACTTTTGTTTGTGCTGGTTTGGTAGAATAACGTACTGTACTGTGCTGGGCTGGACCTGAAGCATGCACACTCCAACTGGAATAGGAACCATTTAAAGGAAAAATCCACCCTGAAAATACTTAACACCATTTTTAACACTGCTAGTGACAGTGTTTTTTCCGTTTAAGAGGCCATGTGCTATTTTTATTGTTTTGTTTTTTGCACTAAACTGATGTGATGCCAGTTCTCTTGTCATGCTGTCACTTCATTTTCACTGTCAGTATCATTTTACCTCCAGCGAGTCTTGTCTCGCAGTATTATCGTTGATACTGTTAATTTAATTTGACATTTGACATCAGCTACCTCTCATTAATTCATTTCCAGGCCTAAATATTTCCTTTAAATCACATCACTGTAATGGAAACATGACTCATCTTCAGTACGATATTATAATGCATGACACTTCTTTTTTTTTTTTTAATTATTATTGTTCACATTTCCATAAACAGCATATGTTGAAATAAGACCTCTTAATACCTGTGTAAAGATACTGTCATATCTTTGATTACATTCCTCAATCCCATGATATTACATACAGTAACCATTTTTCCAATTCTGCCTAATAACAGTACTGTTATACCCATGTGTATATTGTCTGTAATGGCCATAAAGAAATCCATTTTTAAAGTAATTTCACTGAAAGAGAAGGAAAAGTCAACAGTACTTGTTCTGTTTTGTGCTGACCAGACTAAAAATACCTGTTTGACTTGTCTAACTCTGAATGCAGAAGCCTTAAATATACTGGGGCTGTGACAATATGCTTATCTCCTACTTTCATGTATATTGCCATGCGATGTCAAAATTCTTTTTTACAATTTTTGTTTACTTTGTAACACTAGACTATGGGAAAAGAGAGACTGTATATCATGAGTCATAGCTCCAAAAACGATGCACATCACAACAATCAGTCTTTCTGACTTTTTCAGCAGCAATAAGCCCCAATCAGACAGAGCATATTTTGCAGTGTCTTTTTTACGTTGTTGCTAGGCAGCCACCAAATCAGCTGTCCTTAGCTTTACCGCTAATTTGTTGTGAAATAAACAGATCCATACTTTAAAATCTGAATACAAAAATTGACACATGGAGGACACTTGGGGACTGGACTAGAGGTCAGACTCGCCAGAGGACCCACAATATGATATTATCACAATGCTTAGGTCAAGATACAATATTATCGTGATACGCTGAGTATTGTGATACAATATATTGCGATATATTGCAATTCATTACCTAATTTCCATCTGCAAATCATTTCCCCAAAGGAAAACTTTGTCAGCATCAGTTTTCATTCTGTTTATCTGACTTTAATCATTTTTATTGCAGCAAAATGTGATGCAAAGCAGACAGACTAGCCAACACCTTCATAAAACTCAATGCAGCATACACCTGAGAAACTGAACTGTTGGTAGATTCAGTGCCCTTTGCAAGGCCAGATTAAGCGTCTAAGTGAAACACTTCACATGCAGGTTTCCGGCTAACTGAATGGCAACACCTATGTTAGAAGCGTTGTCTGTTACAACTACAAGATGTTTGTTGGCAGTCCTCCATTCTGGTTCTGCATTTTGCAGGAGGTCTGCAATGTTTGCTCCGGTTTGACTTTCGTGTACTGCTGTGGCACAAGTGAGCCAATGGAACTGCATTTGTATCACGCCTTCCTAGTCATCCAACCACTCAAAGCGCTTTTTACACTACAAGTCACCCATTTACACACACATTCATACACTGGTGGCCGAGACTACCATACAAGGTGCCATCTGCTACTCAGTTTTTAACACACTCACACACCAATATCATCGGGAGCAATTTGGGGTTCAGTATCTTGCTCAAGGATTCTTGGACATGCAGACTGGAGGAGCTGGGGATTGAACCGTTAATCTTCCTCTGAGCCACAAAGCCTAATGTTTGTGTGTGCGCTACTGCATCGCCACCACAGAAGGCCCGCCTCTCAATTGATTGATTGATTGGACAATAGGACAAAAAGGCCGATGAAGTTGGGAGTTCCTCTGGTCTTAGCTTAAGTTTTTTCAACTGGAGGTTTTCAGGGTGCTCCTGCAAAACATGAGGCACTCAGCGATGCAAAAGCAGCAAACAAACTCCTTCACTCTCATTAAAAAACAATAACAAAAAGTCACTCTGCTGTTAAAACTGCTCTGTCTGATCGGGGTCTTATACTGCATAGAAATGTGTAATTTACTGATAATACATCCTACCCAACTTATCTTTTAACAAAGGGTCTGTTGAGGTAAAATTATCTGAAGTTTTTAACTCTAAGAATTCTTGAACTCTCAAATTTTAATCTGGTGTTTGTTTGATATGCATATTTGACTGAATTATTTGATTTCAAAAGGCACCCCTGGAGTGCCTTTAGGTGCACCAAAAGGCACTCCTGTTGTACACCCATCCAGTGTTTTTTACCTTCCAAGGTACAAACTGGAGTCTTGCTTTTCTCTTCTGGACCTGTTTTTTATTCCTTTGATTTTTCGAGGCTTTGATTTTTCAGGCAGCCTGACTTTATCACTTGAAATATGGTCACCATGAAAACTGCAAGTATATGAGTCAACAACAAGTGCTTAAGTTTGTGTAATGTTGCTCTGGTCGCCAGAGAAAGGCATCCTGAAACACAAAAATCTATAATTTAAGTAATAAGCAAGGAAAGTAATAAAGTAGAGCTTTTATCACAAAATAACTCCTGAAACTTTCTGAACATCACAGAATGATTATATTTTATATGATGGTGTAAAAGTTTATAAGGGTGGATTTTTCCTCAGAGAGCATTCGTCTCTCTGTGTCCTGCATGCCACATAGAGAGTATGAGGAAATATTTGCATAGGAATTAAAATATGGATCTAAATAAAATATATTAGTTTGTTATTTGTACGCTGCTGCCAAATGACTTAATACTCAGAGACACTGCACAAAACTATGAAAGCAATCATATACACAGGTATACACAAAGACATGCACACACGCCAATAACACGCACATGACACAACACAGTTTGAATGCTCTTTCTATGCTGCTGCCCGTGGTTGGTTGTAGTAGCATGTCTTTGTTGTAGAGAAACACAATATTCCTTTTCTGTTTTTGTGTTTGAAATCTCTAGATACAGTAGATCTCTCTCTTTATAGAGTGCAAACTAAGTGTCTTGGAAAATGTTCTCTAATTCTATCAGGTTTTTTTGGACAGTTAAGTAAAGATTGTTTAATGTTCAATCTATAAATTATGGTAAAATAACAGTATTTATTTATCATTCTACGTGTTCTGTCGGAAGAAGAAGAGTGGATCAATAAAGTGTGGTCATTTGGGTGATGGTGTATTTGTGGTTTGTTTTCGCTTCAGTGGACATTGAGATGGAGAGGAGGTTGACAGGATGTGATGAGCACTAGTAAAAGCTGTTATATCGTCACTGTCAATAAGGGAGGAAAGAGTCCCAACCCAATTATCCCAATAAATGTTGATATTGCATTTTTCAGCTAAGCATGGACATATTACATTTGTATGTTTAATTTATGTGGCTGGGATAAAAAACACAAACAGCGACATTGTCCCAACGTATGCTTGAAAAATACTCAGTTTTATTGCAGTGAACATAGCTGGATATTTCCTGACATGCTGTTGAAAACTACACAGTTGTTGAAGCAAACACAGATGAAAATGTCCCAACATATGGTTAAAAAATACCTGTTTTTGTTTTGCATAAAACACAGCTGGAAATGTCCAGTTGCATGCTTAAAAAATACCTAGTTTTGTTGCAGCAAACATGGTTGGAAATGTCCCAACATATGATCAAAAACGACCTGGTTTTGTTGCAACAAACACGGCTGGAAATGTCCCAACATATGGTTGTAAAATACCTGGTTTTGTTGCAACAAACACGGTTGGAAATGTCCCAACATGGTAGAAAAATACCTGGCTTTGTCGCAGCAAACACTGTTGGAAATGTCCTGACGTATGGTTAAAAAATACCCAGTTTTGTTGCAACAAACACAGTTGGAAATGTCCCAACATATGGTTGTAAAATACCTGGTTTTGTTGCAGCAAACACAGTTGGAAATGTCCCAACATATGGTTGTAAAATACCTGGTTTTGTTGCAGCAAATACAGATGGAAATGTCCTGACATGGTTTAAAAAATACCGTTTTGTTGCAACAAACACGGTTGAAAATGTCTAGACATGTGGTATAAAAATACCTGGTTTTGTTGTTGCAAACATGGCTGGAAATGTCCCAACATATGGTTGTAAAATACCTGGTTTTGTTGCAACAAACACAGATGGAAATGTCCTGACATATGGTTTAAAAAATACCGTTTTGTTGCAACAAACACGGTTGAAAATTTCTAGACATATGGTATAAAAATACCTGGTTTTGTTGTTGCAAACATGGCTGGAAATGTCCGAACGTATGGTTTAAAAATACCTGGTTTTGTTGCAGCAAACAGGGTTAAACATGTTTTGATGTGGTTAAAAATACCAGCCTTTGTTGTTTATTGGTCACGAACAGTGGTCTGCTGCTTGGCAACCATCTCGCCTTGGTTTCACGCCATCCACTATCCCCTCCTCTTCATGATAGAAAACTTATAAACATTTAATCTGAACTACGTCGCTGCAGAAATGTTGATATGATACACATGAAACCTACAAATGTAACATATCCATGCTTTGCAGAAATGTACACTGCCGACATTTTATTCTGTTCGACTGGGCTGAGAGTTGATGACAAACCAAAAGAGATTCTCTGGTTTAGAAACTCAGCTCTGCTCCTTCTCCCAGTTGACAAGTCCAAATCCCTGCCACCTTTCCCACAATGCTACTATCAAAGCTGAGTGAGAACTTGAACATTGCCCTGGTTCCCTTGACAAAAAGCCTATGGGATTTCTCCACTGCATTTTGGAGAAAATAAACTCTGTGGCAGACCAAAGTTTTTGATGCTTACACATTTTGTTCAGCAGGAAAACCTTCACAAATGAACACCACTTTTACAATGTTTGAAGTGTAAATGCAATCACCAGAAATATAAAGCCAATGTAAGGCTATAAATGAACTCCACCACGGTTGCATGACTACACCACTAAGCTTTTAACTTGTAATTCGGTTTGGCTCACTTATGTCTTCTGTAAAGTCCTTTGGTCTACTGTAAAAACAACATGGCAGATCCGTTTGGAGATGAAAACAGCTCATCCTAAAGGATCAAAAACATGACTCTTAATTTTAGGTGACTATATACTAAAGACAACATAGTTGAACATGAATATTATATTCCATATCCATTTTTTCCAAAAGATATTGTTGCTAATGTTAGCTCAAGATCAATTAAATTTAGAAGATTAAAAGGCAACATTATTATAAAAACACCATCCTCCTGTTTCCTCTAAGTCACTGAGCTCATATTTAGGTAGATTTGCAGCTCCAAGCTCAGCTGGTAGTCCAGATACAATCAAAAAATTTCCATTAGCTGGTTTTCTATGATAATCTAGGTTTGAAATGAACAGATAATAGCACAGGATGCTACTTGGAACTAATGAAATGGAGATAAAATAAACAGACACACCAGAGCTGATCACCTTTGCAATTCAGTTTTATTGGTTCTTGGTTCTTAATAGTTATTGAATAAATGAATGGCTGTTTTCAGATTTTTTTTTATCTTGTTATACAGTTTATTTGATTTATCAGAATCCATAAAAAATATATTAATACAAATTCATAACTTCATGTTTATTACCAATTGGAATACTTAGTTGCACAATGGTGCAAAAAAACCCTACATTAAATCCAAGCAATGGTTTGATAATAATAGGCGTCTAAAAAGTCAACACACCATGATTTGTATTAAATATTTAAATTGCCTATTAAAGTAATTTAAAATGTTTTGGAAGTTTGTACCACATTTTATCGAAAGTAATCACTAGGGTATATGCTGAGAAAACCGAATTAACTTTGAATCCAGTATTACCTTCAAACATGATAAAACATGTTAAATAAATAATGTTTATGCAGACAGTAAGCATTTAGGTTTAAATGGAAGTGAGAACTGAGGTCCATGAATAATGAACTCCAGCAGGTTACCTAGCTACTACCCACAAATCATGCATATGATTTCCTGCTAATGTTTTTTCTGCTCTGCAGCTTTAAGCTTCTTTGTCCATTTGGTTGCCAGTGCAGATGGAAAACAAGACCGAAAAAAGGTCACTCGATATCCTTGCTTTGCTTTTATTTCTATATCTGTCTCATAGATAACTTAAATTATGTATCACTAGTAAATAAACAGGAATGTCACATGCGTCGCACTTTCATCTTACATAAAATACTCAGCTTAGCTTTGCTGTTATATTTCAAAGATGTCCTCCTCCACCTTCACCAGCTTATCTCCTGTTTTGACATCTTCTCTATTCCCTCTTATGTGCGATAGCCTCTGCCTCCATAGCCTGGCTCAACCTCTTCCTGAAAACTCATTTGTTCAGGAATTACCTTCGTCCCACTAAATCTCTTTACCTCCTCGCTATTGTTCTCAAAATCCCCTTTATCTTCCTCCTTAGCTCTTGTTTTGTTTCTCCTCTTAGAACACTGGCACATCCGGTCACAGGAATATCACTGACAGAACACCATGTTTATCACTTCTCAGTGGTGGTTGCTTGTAATTAGCCCTTAATAACTGGATCCACTAAATACATGAAATTATAGATGATGAAATATATAATTATAGATGATAAAAAGACTGAGAGTTAAACTGCATCCCTTTTTTTGTCAGTCTTTTCCAATAATCTGTCACATCAGTGAGTAATCAGACACAGAAATGCACTCGAAAAACTAAAACAAAAATAGGCTACAATGAAATACTCCTTTTAACTTGTGTTATTTTATATGCTTGACATGTATTTTTTAAATAAAACATTTTGGGAACTATACGCTTATTCACTTTCTGTTAGCTAAAACCAGGAGACAGTTATCTTAGCTCAGCATTACGACTGGAAACAAGGGAAACATGCTAGTGCGGCTCTGTCTGAAGGGGTGTCCTAACCTCACTGAAGAACATGACTGTTATGTCTTGTTTATTTGATCCAAAACCAAAAAATGAACTGCAGATATGACAACATGTGGTTTTATTGTGAGATCTCATGTTTTAGGCCCGTGTCCATCAAAGCATTTTTCCCAGCTGAAAGTGTCATGCACTCCTCAGGAAACACTCAGCTGGGAGTGCTTGAGAGTGCTTCAGAGGTGCAGTGTTTTTCAGCTGAGACACTTTGGTTGCGTCTCATTGCTGTGATACAGAATATCTGTGGAAGTGAAAATGTCGGCACAAGGTAGCACTTGCTCTGGACGAAGGGAAGGCTGAAACATGTAGGGAGAGAGGATGGACCCGCCGGTATATGTGGGTTCATCAGAGGAAACACATATTAATGTATACAGTAAAACTTCAGTTAGTAGCCTGGGCTATTATTTATTTAAATCACCAAACTCAACAGGCCTATATTAGGGACAGGTCTATATGGGACAGACCTTTAATTCTTTTTACACAAAACTGTGGGAAATTCAACCAAATTGTTTATTTGAACCAATATGAATAGTACTAGTACAACATTCATAACTTGGATTAATTTTGATGAAAAACACTTTTTATTCTACTGATTGGTGGACCCTTATGGACTAAAGGAATATAAATAACTTGGTGGGTAATCCAGGACTGAACACATATTCTGACTTTACGACAACTTTAGAAGAAGGAAGTCACCAGTTGTTGTTTTTTTCATCATGTCGGTATATCTGAATGAAGTGTGGTCTTCTCTGGTGCTCATAGTTTCAGTACATTTAAATGAACCAAGCTAACAATGTGTAGCATCTCCATATTGACAAAAGTTTAAGCATTTACATTTGTATACAGTTAGGTCCATAATTATTTGGACAATGATACAGTTGTCGTCATTTTGGCTCTGTACACCATCACAATGGGTTTTAAATGAAACAATGAATACCTGCTTAAAGTGCAGACTCTCAGCTTTCATTTAAGGGTTTTTTCAAAAATGTAGTATGAACCGTGTAGGAATTACAACCATTTCTTCACACAGTCCCCCAACTTTAAGGGCTCATAAGTATTTGGACAAACTAACATAATCATCAGTTAAACAGTCAGTTTTAATACTTGGTTGCAAATCCTTTACAGTCAATGACTGCCTGAAGTGTTGGACACATAGGCATCATCAGATGCTGGGTTTCTTCCCTGGTGATGCTCTGCCAGCCCTTTACTGCAGCCGTCTGCACTTCCTGCTTGTGTTTTGGGTGTTTTGCCCTCAGTTTTGGCTTCAGCAAGAGAAACGCATGCTCAGTTGGATTCAGGTCAGATGATATGACTTGGCCATTGCAGAACATTCCACTTCTTTGCCTTAAAAATGTCTTTGGTTGCTTTTGCAGTATGCTTCAGGTCAATGTCCATCTGCACTGTGAAGCATCGTCCAATGAGTTTTGAAGCATTTGGTTGAATCTGAGCAGATAATGGTGCCCCAAACACTTCAGCTTTCATCCTGCTGCTCTTGTCAGCAGTCACATCATCAATAAATACAAGAGAACCAGTTCCACTGGCAGCCATACATGGCCATGACATAACAGTACCTCCACCATGCTTCACTGATGAGGTGGTGTGCTTTGGATCATGAGCAGTTCCTTCCCTTCTTCCTTCTCTTGTCTTCCCATCATTCTGGTAGTTGATCTTTGTTTTATCTGTCCATAGTATGCTGTTCCACAACTGTACAGGCTTTTTAGATGGTTTTTGACAAACTCTAATCTGGCCTTCCATTTTTAAGGCTAACCAATGGTTTGCATCTTGTGATAAACCCTCTGTATTTATTCTAGTGAAGTCTTGTCTTGCTTACAAGAGCAGCAGGATGAAAGCTGAAGTGTTTGGGGCACCATTATCTGCTCAGATTCAACCAAATGCTTCAAAACTCATTGGACGATGCTTCACAGTGCAGATGGACATTGACCTGAAGCATACTGCAAAAGCAACCAAAGACATTTTTAAGGCAAAGAAGTGGAATGTTCTGCAATGGCCAAGTCATATCATCTGACCTGAATCCAACTGAGCATGCGTTTCTCTTGCTGAAGCCAAAACTGAGGGCAAAACACCCAAAACACAAGCAGGAAGTGCAGACGGCTGCAGTAAAGGGCTGGCAGAGCATCACCAGGGAAGAAACCCAGCATCTGATGATGCCTATGTGTCCAACACTTCAGGCAGTCATTGACTGTAAAGGATTTGCAACCAAGTATTAAAACTGACTGTTTAATTGATGATTATGTTAGTTTGTCCAAATACTTATGAGCCCTTAAAGTCGGGGGACTGTGTGAAGAAATGGTTGTAATTCCTACACGGTTCATACTACATTTTTGAAAAAAGCCTTAAATGAAAGCTGAGAGTCTGCACTTTAAGCAGGTATTCATTGTTTCATTTAAAACCCATTGTGGTGGTGTACAGAGCCAAAATGATGACAACTGTATCATTGTCCAAATAATTATGGACCTAACTGTATGTTTCTAAACAGCTAACTAAGGTTAGCTCAAGTGGGTAGCCACCATCCAAAGAACTTCTATAGAAATAAACGGCTTGGCAACCAAACTGGGCGTCTATTTGAGCCAGGCCTTTATTTGTCAAAATGTGTAGCTACACCAGGCTAGTAAATGAGACTAGGCTTTTGATTGAAGTTTTATCTGAAGCCTTAATTTCATACGTTATATTCATACTAGTTTGAGTAAACAATTAGATTGTATATACCAATCTTTGCTGAGCAACAGTTTTGTGTGAAAGAAGTTAAAGGCCTGTCCCATATAGATGCCTGTCCCAAATATAGGCCTGTTGATTTTAGTGATTTAAGCAAATAATAGCCCGGGCTATTAATTGAAGTTTTACGGTATGCAGTATTTCAACATATTTCCCCTCCATTTCTGTTGTTCCTCAGCACTTGGGCATCTAAGATGTGACGGCTGGTCTTTGTGGTAGGCTATTTGTCTTGCCCCTCCTCTACTGTGATTGCGGTAAAAAGTGACAATGATGAGCGCAGTGTTTTAATCAAAGTGGAACAGTTTTCACCTTTGGCACTCAAAAAAAAAGGCAATCATGCAGCACTCAGCTCAGAATAGACGCTCAGCACCTTGTCACGCTGATTTGTAGCATAGCATAAATACACTGCCATTGCAAAGTATTAAAAAGAATAAGGTAGCCCCCAGAAAAATGCTATGGTGGACACTGCGCCACATGCTAAGGACGAACTGTCTCCTCATTCTAGCTTCATATTTGGCAGACAGATATGCGACTCACAACAATCTTCTCATCCAGCAGAAAATATATTTCCCAAAATGTATAACCACTTCTATATATGGCAGTAGGCTATTGGTATTAGTATTAGCTTAGCATAAAGACTGGTAAGAATAAGGGAATAAGGGAAATGGCTAGCCTAGCTAGCCGTTTCCAGAGGCAACAGTTCTGCCTACAAGCACCTGTAAAGCTTACTAATAAACATATTATATGCAATACCTATAATCATACAAAAACCAAAGTGTAAATATGATGCTAAGCTAACCACCTCCCAGTATTAGCTTCATATTTAACAGACCTATATTAGATTGGTATCAATGTTCTTGTAATTCTCAGCAAGAAAAGTGTTAGTGTATTTCTAAACTGTTTGTTTCAGTAGTAATAGAGGAAGTTAAGAAAATCTTACTTAACATATTTTTCTAAATGTCCTGGAGTCATGCACACCTGTTCTCCAATGATGAGATGGGCCTAGATGGCTGAACCCAATAGTTTTAGTTACCTAAAATGCGTGTGTGCTCTTTTCTCAGAATTTTGAGACTCTGTTGCACCTCTGAGAGAAACTGTCTCACTTTCATGTTAAACTGTTCTCACACTATGTGCATGTTAGTCTGGTAAAGGCAGCAGTGTACACTCAGTGCCAGTGAGAGGTCTGGGGAGCTGACAGATCTCTCTCCAGTGATCTTTTTTTGTATCGTACTCCAACACACTCTTCACTATCACCTCCTGTCCTTCACTCCATCTCCTCCCTCCGAACACCAGCAGATTCCCAGACGGCGCTGACACCATTCCATAGTTAAAGGATCCAGTGAGGAGTGGTCGAAGACGGGTCCAGTCATCTGACTGCGGATCGTATCGTTCAATATCGCAGAAAGGCTCGTACATTCCCAACAAGGCGTAGATGTGGCCATGGGCGACTGCCAGGCGGTGACTGAACCTGGCGATGGACATGGGCGCTCGCTTCTCCCAGGCTCTGCCTTTGAGGTCCCAGAACAGGACTTCTTTGCTGCTCTCTCTGTGGTCATCCCGGTTATCGCCATGGTTACTGCCGCCCTGGTTGCCACCTGACACGTAGATGTTGTTGTCAAGCACAGCAGAAGCGTGGCCGCAAAGGGGGCGAGGCATGTTTGCTCCTCTCCTCCATGCTCCTGTGGCCATGTCGTAAAACTCAACAGAAGCTACGGAGGTGTGTGTGTTGGCATCTGGTTGTGTGTGTCGTCCCCCGATGGCATAAATAGCATCCTCTACTACGCAGCAGGTGAACTGTGCCCGCCTCTCCAGCATGGACTCTACCGCTACCCAGCATTCGAAGCGAGGATCGTAGCGCCACACCTGGTTGGATGTCACCACGGTGACAGACTTTTTGCCATCCTCCTCCCCCTCTTTCACTTCCTCTCCTCCGATCACGAAGAGGAAACCTCCCACTGAGCACACGCAGTGATTTCTCAGCCGCAGCGGGATGCTGGAGCACAGAGGTGAGAACTTCCTGCCTCTGGGATCAAACATCACCATTTTCTGTTCCGGCCAATCAGGACTGGACCCTCCACCTACAAGCAGCACACGATTGGGCGACGCTCTGAGTGTCGACTGTTTGCTCTGTCTGATTGGCTGAGCTGAACCCAGTCTGTGGTACTCCAATGCCTGAGTCAACTGACCTCTGATTAGAGGTGTGGCCATGGCTTTGTGGGTGTGGCTAAGATTGGGGAGCTCAGACGGGGCAACCAATCCAAAGCGCAGACGACTCAGCAGGAGATTTGATTTCAGCAGAGGGAGGGGTCCGTTGTCATCCAGCCAATCCAGAGCCAGCTTTATGAGCTCCACCTCCTTGACACCAGGTATCTCATCAGCGTCGAGCACCTCCATCAATGACTGCATATTCAGCTTGAGAAGGTCATCCCTGCTTTCCTGCAGCAACGTTCCCATCTCCATAGCGATGGTTTGATTGGCAGCTTCAAGTGCATCTGAGAGAACATGGTGTTCGGCCAGGTTAGCATAGCAACAGCAATTCTCAATGCTTAAACCATCAATCATGAAGCGCTCGCATATTGACACAGCCGTCTCCACCTGCAAGTACCTGGCTGCCTCAAGGACGACAGGAAGTGTTAACGACGACACGCTGAGCCAGCCAGAGTACAGGAAGTCCAGAATGGCATCTAAACCCTCAGGTGTTAGCGCGGGGAGGCTAATGCAGCCCGCTAATCTCTCAGCGGTAGTCTCTCCAAACAGAGCCCAAAAATACTCGCTGGAGCTGGCCAAAAGGGCGCGATGACAAGGGAAGGATACACCACTGGCCTCCAGGACGACATCACACATGTTTCCCTGTGAGCGCAGGCGCTGGAAGCCGGCAAGAAGTCCGGTTCTGTGGGAGGAACTGTAGAGGAGGGAGTAGCTATCCATCCAAAAGATGGGAGGTGAGAAGATATTGGAGAGAGAAAGCTTTTTGAGAAACAGAAAAGGATTAGTTGTAAAGAAAATTCTTAGTCAGGAAGGTAGGAGGAAGCAGCAGCAGTGAGAGGGAAGTAAGAGGAAGAAAGATTAAAAGCAGAGAAAAAGCAGTAATGAGTGTTGTCAAAAAAGATGTAGCCGGCAAGCTGCACTAGAACATCAGACTAAAGAGAATCAGACATTAGTTGCAGAGCAGGATAATGGGTTGTTGAGAGCAAAGAGCAGGAAATGATAGGAGACGACAGGAGAGTTGAGAGGAGAAAAGTCAAGTGCGTGTCCTCAGCCGACGTCTCTCCATCTGTGTTTTTGTCCTGCTCTGTCTGCATGTGACACCATGACAGAAAGGCGATCAACTGCCCCCCTACACACACACACACACACACACACACACACACACGGTCCGTACTGCCCCTCCTTTTGGCCCTTAAACTTCCCAAAGCCTCCTGTCTCCTTCTGTGATGTCCCAGCTCTGTTGGCTTTGTGTCTGTCCGCTGCCCTTTTCTCTGCGTCCGGGAGGGAGTATCACCAGAATATATGCATCCAACATACCCACCAATGGGGCAAGTGAGCAGATGCATGGATAAACACATGCGCACACACACACACTAGGAGCCTGGCAGGGTTTTAGTGTCTATCCCGGCGGATGAACTCATTGGTAAATACAGCTGCCACAGTCTGCAGAACTAAGATTCCAGGGCACGGTTGCCACGGCACCTATCTGTGCCCTCATCGCCATGGCGACAGGAATAGAAACACAGGCAGGGCTTGGCTCTGAGGTACATGTCAAACCAGAGGAAGTTTTGCCAAGCTGTCAAAGGATTTTAGAAGTGTCAAAAGTAGTGTGTAGCATTTGGTATTAGAATGAGCTGTGCCCTTCGGGGAGGCATTTAACCTTATTGTGACCTGTGCTGCTTCAAAATCAGACAGGTTGATGTCATGCCATTATTTTTATGCAGAGACAGGGGCAGCGGGGTTGTGGTGGGGTGGGAGTGATGAAGATTTGTTTTCAATATCAGGCTACAAGTTGTCCGGCATGTTTACTGTGGTGTGATTAATGTTGAGCCACTGTTTGTCTGGTATACATGTATACATCAGTATGCAAACGGCATAGCTTTACAGCACACTTACAAGTTCTTGCAGCTCTCTCTGCATCGTACATTTTGTCGTGAGTTATGATCTCTGAAGAGATGCTGGCTCACACCCAGAGATGAGTGTGTATTTGTATGCAAGTACAGTGGTGGAATCTAACTAAGTACATTTACTCAATTGCTGTACTTGAGTAGGGTGAATTCAAGTAATGTGGGACATCAGGTAATGTGGGACGTTTATGCACTGTGAAGATTTAATATGGTCAAAATCAATACACAATGATCAAAACTGATCTTGAATTGTTGCTACAACACTTTTTGCCACTAAACAATGGTTTGGGTTGGTCTGACATCATCAGAGAGGGCGTGGCCTATCTTCACAGGAGGTCTGCACAGCACAAACGCTTGGTAAGTTCAGCGGCAAGTGGGTTTCAATTTTTCAATGTTAAGGCTTTTAATGAAATTTAAATTAGGTAAGAACCTATACTTCTGTTTCATAATGAAGTAGGTTAAACACTGGTTGAGAAACAGGAGAAAAAAGTGTAAAATAATCCTTTGTTTTTATGAAAACATGATTTATGTCACTGTCCCACATTAGCTGAACATGTTAGATAAAGTGGGACGGCATTGTTCAGGTAAAGTGGGACAGCGTGTTATGATTTATTTATGCTATAAAACTGGCCCTAACCCTAACCCTCCTAAGTTTTAACCTTTGTAGAACTACAACTAGGCCTACTCCATCATTTCATTTAGCTAGCTATAGGTAACATTGATAGCTATCTCGTGTTAGCTAGCAAGCAGTCAATGCTTTGTCGCGACACAAATACAGAGCACATTTAAACATAATCTGTCACAGTTGTGGGTGTTTATCAGTGTTTTCACAACGTTACCACTTTGAAAATATTCAGAAATAGTGTTTTAATCTTCTGTTTCATAAATTTATGCCTAGCAAGACTCTCGCACACACACACACACACACACACACAGGCAGTGCTGGGAGCGGGAACAGAGGAGGGGGGAGGGGCGAACCTTAGGTGTGTTTGTTTCTAAACAGAGCCTGCATTATCTGATTTTAAGATTTTCAAACTAATTAAAATGGGTGTCATACATAGAGTTAAACAATGCTTCTTAATTAATAAATAATTTCATACAAAAATACATCATGCAGTTATTAAAAATCAATGTTAGTTCAATCTTTATCACCCACTGCAGGACCTTTTTGTTTGCAGCCGAACATCCACAATACCACAGGGAGATGCACTGCGTCAGCAGCACACTCTCGATGGTGGAGCGGTAGAAGGTGACCAGCAGCTGTTGGTTTGTCTTTGAAAAGTACCCTAACTTTAATTGTTAATTGTTAATTGAAATGATTTGTATTCACAAATCAGGCAAAGAGGCCTGTTTTTTAAATCTAAGAATGACTGTCCCACTTTACCAAACAAACTGTCCCACATTACCTGAACATGCTGCTCGAACAAAAGAGGGTGTCATGTTATGTTTGAAGGTGTGTAGCTTCTAAAAAAAGATTGTATTCCCACTGAATTCAAACATAAAATGTTAATAAGGCCTAAAATGATTTAATGAAACATCATTGGAGCAAGTAAATAGTTTTTATATAAGTCTACCGGAGCATCTACCAAAAACTGTCCCACATTACCTGAATTCACCCTACAAATTGGAGGTACTTTACTCAAGTATTTCCATTTTCTGCCACTTCATACTTCTACTCCACTACATTCTGGAGGCAAATATTATATTTTTTGCTCCACTACATTTGTCAGCAGTTACTTTGCAGTAAAAGCACCAAATAAAACAGTTTCACATTACAAATCAGTATTTCGTCTATGCTGTTCGGACTGTCACAGACAGGCTGCTACCCCAGCACCTGCCGATGTGTGCTGACCTTTTTTTACAGATAACTAAAGATCCAGATGTTCAGGAGATTTTTACTGGGAGCTGATTGGTCTCTCTGTCTTCAAAACACAGACCCGACAATTTAAAGCGTTAAAAACACTGAATAAATCTGTGTTTTGGTGGACAAGGAAAAAAAAAAAAACAAATAGCCCTGTCTTAAGGCAATGCTGGTTTGTCCCTTCTGGGCTACTGCAGAAACATGGCAGTGCAACATGGCAGACTTCATAAACAATGACCCACTTCCTGTATAGATATAAATGGCTCATTCTAATGTAATGAAAACACTATTATTAAGCCCCATCTCCACCAAACACTTTCAGTATAGTACCTTTGGAAACAACAGTGCCCCTTCAGACATTGTACCTAGACTCTCTGTCCACTTACTGTCTCCACCACAAACAGTACTCTTTCATGTGTGCGGAGTTGTTGTTACTCACTGCTCTGTCCAGTACTCACTGTATTTCCTCCTTTATCAGTCTGCACATTGTTTATTGTCCACAGAATGAGATTGCACGCTGACATGTTCAGAACAAAGGTCAAAGTTGTCATACTGAAATTTAAGGTGTGCTGATGGATTCACGTCGTCAACACATGCATTGAGTAACATACAGTAACAAGTAAACGTTCCACCTTAAATGTTGCCGGCAGTTGGCCAAGTGAATTAAATCAAAATTCTCAGAATACAGATGCTGTAAGAGGCAGCAAAACATCCTTTCATTTTATAGTCTTACAGTCAGTTTTACAGTCTACTAATAAACTTTCCACAGTATGAACAGTGGTTAACTAACTCGAAACCAGTCACAGCTCAGCCCTGAGCAGAGTGATCATCCACTATTGACCAATCAATGGACTGCAGTGTTTACAGCTCCACCTTTTAGTACCAGATCTGTGTGCTAGGTACCCCAACAGAGGGGTGACCAAAAATGGTAATGGTACAGAACAGTTCCATTGGTACCATCCACAACTTCTAACAGTGGAAACAGAAAAAAAAGCGTACCGAACTGATCTGAACCGTATTGTACTGCTCTGTGGACACAGAGCTTTATTGTCAGGTGATTATACACTAATAAAAACCTCTTCTTCTTAAAATATATTTTAAATCTAAAATCCATATATAAACTTATATTATCAACCATAAATCTTACATACTGGACCTTTTAGCTGAATAAATTCTTTAAAAAGTCTTGGATCAGTTGATAAACTGCATCGTCACAAAGCTGAAAATGGCTGTCTCTGACACATTGAGAAGGTGACTTTTGGAGATATGTGGTCCTCACAGGACGGCCATGCTACAACCATATGATGGTCTTATAGAATATGATGCATTATACCTACCAGTATATAAAGGAGTTGAGATTAGCACAATCTGAAACATCTACAGCTGTAAAACTTAAATACAGTTTGCTGATACATACTTTTAATAAAGTAAGGTTTCGTATGCCGTACTCTTACTTGTAGTGGAGTATTGTCACAGTAAGATCTGAGTACTTCTTCCACCACTGCATATGTTTTTGTTTAATTGAAATGTTGGTTCAGAATTCAGCACACAGGCTGCTCGCAAAGAGGAAAAACAAGATTCACGCCTTTTGAAACTGCACAGTGTTTTTAATCTTTCCCACACAATGTCAGATCCTCTCGTACGACTGTTAAAACACCAGCAGTGTCTCTCTCTCCACCGTGACCTGATGGAGGCTAAACTTAGCTACAGCTGCTCTGTGTGTGTTTGTCTGCGTGAACATGTGATGTGATGATGGATATCTGCTGTAATGGGGGCTGGTGGTGTGCTCGATGGCATGTGTGTGCTCCGTCCATGTGGCATTCCTTCATGAAACAGTTGGATTTGGAGGATCAAAGTGAATCTGCGCACAAAGATGCCCCTGACTCCCACGTAATACCCATTACATATGCACATAATACAAGGATATTACAACTAGAAATATCAGGGCTTATTTTTTAATGTGAAAACCTGACTCTGAAAGACTCTCCGGGCCACATCTTCCATCACAGTAAACACAGAGTTTTAATTTGCTTTTGTCAGAGTTTTCAGGGTATTTAATTTTGCCTGAATGTATTTTTTTTTTTTTAATCAGTGCATGCATTATGTCATGCTCTGTTTACTGTCAGTCTCCTTACACCCACCGGCAAAAAAGGACGTCTCTGCCATGAAATAATCCCCTTTAAATATGTCACCTTAAAAACTTTACTGTCACGTCCTGTCGCCTTGCTCAGGGTGTCTTTGTTAGCTGATACAGCTGTCAACTTCATCAGCAAGACATTTTCTTTTTTTAATGACAAGGAAACAAGACTAAGAGTCAGCATGCAAACGTGCTCAAAATGATAATGCTAACATGCTGCTGTTTTTTTTTACTATGTTCACCAAGTTAGTTTAGCATGTTTGCATGCTAAGACTTGCAAATAAGCACCAAAAAAAGTTCTGACAAATGACAAATTTTTGTATGGCCAACCCAGAAGTTAGCGTCCCCCTGGTTCCCTTGACAAAAAGACAATGGGATTCTACATTGGCATTTTAATTATTACAGAAAATAAAACCTGTGGGAAATCA